TTATCATTGTGATGGTGTTATCACTAACATTTATTGATATATAGCGTAGCATGTTCATCACAATGCAAGAGTTACTTGTCAATACAAAACAATGGCTATGATAACAACTTTTTGTTGGCCAAATTAAGGAGCTTCAGTAACATACCATGCTCTGGATATAATTAACAATATTGCTTTTTTAAAGATCAAAATTAAAAATTATGCTTTTTCTCAAGACTGTACTTCTCTAGTATATAGTGAACTAAACCCAATTTTAATCTAACTAGAGTATACCCCCTGAAAAAAACGGCACATTAGGATAGATAGATAGATAGATAGATAGATAGATAGATAGATAGATAGACAGACAGACAGACAGACAGACAGACAGACAGACAGACAGACAGATAGATAGATAGATAGATAGATAGATAGATAGATAGATAGATAGATAGATAGATAGATAGATAGATAGATAGATAGATAGATAGATAGATAGATAGATAGATAGATAGATAGATAGATGCTGTCAGGTCAATTCTAACTTTTGGCAACCATTTCCAAAGTGTTTGAGGTACCAATGGCAACCATTTCCAAAGTGTTTGAGGTACAAAGTATTCAGAAATAGTTTACTATTCCCTTCTTCTAAGGATGCTCTGGGACAGTGCAACTTGCCCAGGGTTATTTAGTCTAGGTCTTTTCCTGGAAAGCAGAGTGTGGAATGAAATGCCCAATTCCTCTTCTCCAACTCACTGAGCCACTCAGACAGTTGGACATAAAGACAGATATTATGACCTGAAGATGCTCAAGAATGTTCAAAAATTAAGTGTATCAAAATCAACTGTTTAAAGTTCCCTACAGAACTGACAGAGGAATTAGCTTTGTGCTGCAGACACATTTTTTTTTACTCAGCTATCATGCAGCTACATATCTCAGAAATGCCTCTTTGATCACTGCTCTGTTCTCTTGGGGCAGTTTCTGAAAGCCCTTTAGAAGGAGGACTAAGGGTCAAGCAACACCCAATGTGAAAAATGTCTTTGAAACCCACAACAGGGATTTTTCTTCTCAGTTTTTACTAATTGCACCTGCTGTTGCTGATCTATGAAGATAAAGTGTCTCCACCCAGTTTCCAGGAATTCTCTCCCACATCTCCACACCTTAGTCTGGCTCACAAATTTTATTCTTGACAAGACAGGCTGCCTTGACATGTCCAAATAGTCCTTCAAACGCATGCTAGTCCCCATGAGAGCTCCTGACTCCATCACAAGAACAAAATACCATAAGCACTTTTTTTGTGTGAGTGAAAGTTCTGTAATTTGCTCAAATGCTTCTTGTGGAAAATTTGCTGTCTTTTCTCTTTAGAGGGCAAAACACAAGGAGAGCGTGTACAGACAGGAAAAACAAACAAACAAACTCAAACTAATATCTCAGGTAATTCTTCGAAATCCATGCAACAATATAGCAGCCATTGTAGTTTTGCATAAATCTTGCTGATGTAAGAGCAATAGTTGAGAATGCTACAAAATAGGTTGCCTCACAGATGAGGAGAAACATTTTGTGGTTAATAATTCTGATGTGTGAGAATGAGGCAGGTGATGATTTACATGTTTACACCACAGACTACTTCATTCTCCAGAGCTTCCCCAATTTTCTGTGTAGGGTTTGGGGGAGGGGACTGGAGAGGTTGCCATGGGAAGGAGGGAATAGAGATGCCCACCCGCCACTGGTTCCTGTTACACATACCTAAACTTGGATCAAGCCCATTATCATTAGAATACCCTGATGATTCCACTCATGTATCGTGTTTCACTCTATTCCCTACTTTTTTTGTTCTTTCTGAGATAACACAGAAGTGACAAACAACAAATGAGGAAAAAGTAAAGCAGGAAGAAAGCATGGGAGAAGCCAAGATTCCAGCATCTTTTACTGTCCCAAATATTTTCCACATATAAAGCTGTTCCTGTGTGTCTTCAAATGTGTTGGTTGCCTCAGAAACAAGGCCAGGATGTCTCACAGAATGCACGCCCACACACAATGCAATAGAAGCTGCATTCATTAGGCTGCCTGTGATTTGACAGTTGAATAAAAAAGTTATATCAAAAACACCAGCCTTTATATATCCACATGTTTTGCTATTCAGTGTGCAAATAAGCAAGAGTAGCATAATAATTACATTGGTATAAATTAAGGCTAAGGTGCCACTGACTGAACACCTACATTTACAAACCTTTTGATCTAAGAAATGTGATATAATGATGCACTGCTATGCATTGTGTTGTTTGTTTAGTTATGCCTTCTGCCATTTTCACAACATTTTAGTAATCCAATTAAAGGTATTACAAAGGTCTCTATTTTGTTTTCATTTATATTTGTATCTATGCATGTGTGTATGTCTTTGGTTGTTTAAAATTTTACTCTGTTATACATTTACTTTTTAAAAAACACAAAGTCACATATCTAATGGAGATATTTACAAATTGATTTTTCAGTTTAGGAATGCTTCTTAGACAGTTTGTAATGCCATGTGAGAAAACTACTGCGGTGGTAGGAAAGCAGAGATTGTCTATATTCTGTTGCACAGAATAGAGTTGCACAGAATATGGGGAAAAAATTGTACTGCTCTCCATGTGGTTGAATTGTGATCTCTACCAGTCTGAGCTAACCAGGCACATGGTGAGACAGGATGGGAATATTAGTTCATCAATGTCAGGATGGTTGGAGGTTCTTTGTCTAACACACAGGATACATTATTTAAATAGAAAATCATTATTACTGAAATATATATCTCTTGCTAGATGTAGTATTTTTGGTCCAGCAAAGTGCGGACTGTTCTGATCAAATAAATTATGGTTCGTTCAAGTGGGAACAAGAAACAAATCATAGCATTCCTTTCTCTTTCTCCCTTTTGTTCAGTTCATAAGAGCCTAGCTTCAGAGAAGACTTCAGCCCTATTCAAGGGATACACTTGAATGAGGTTGATTAACAGAAGCATGAGGTTGTGGGGTCATGTTCATTACAAAGTAAATAAAACCATTAACATGACTTAGGTATCAAATGTTACCTTACAGATAACTCATTATTATAGCTGAAACTACATTAAACTTATCGTGTCCGACTCTAGGGGGCGGTGCTCATCCCCGTTTCCAAGCCACAGAGCCAGCGTTTTGTCTGAAGACAATCTTTCCGTGGTCACATGGCCAGTGCGACTTAGACACGGAACGCTGTTACCTTCCCATCGAGGTGGTCCCTATTTATCTACTGGCATTTGCATGCTTCGAACCGCTAGGTTGGCGGGAGCTGGGACAAGCGACGGACGCTCACTCCGTCGTGTAGATTCGATCTTACAACTGCTTGGTCTTCTGACCCTGCAACACAGAGGCTTCTGTGGTTTAGCCCACAGCGCCACCACGTACCTTACAGATAACTCATCATTATAGCTGAAACTATATTAAACTTCAATAGATGTGACTGGGGTAGAATTTTGTGTCTGAGAAATCAGATTTGCAAATGGAGAGCATCCTTAAGTCTTGAGCACTAAAATAAAGCTGATTTGCAAATTAGAGGAGATGAAAAAAGCTTTTGCTGTACAATCACACACAGTCAGCACTTAAGCAATTACCTCCTCTCCTGATTGGCTATCTATAATGTATTGTTCAGCCCTCAGAGCTGAGGACAGAACCTAGAAAAGGTTGAATTATAAATCTGTGAAGGTATCACATTGGTCCCAAGGTCAGGCCATCCCCAGCACCTTCTACACCACTCATGTCCTGGCTGAAATCCCCAGGGCCAATGACAGTAGCTGAAAATCAGACTGACTGGGAGGATTAAAGGAAGACCTGAATGATTAGAGCAATTATTTCATTAGTCTGGTTAATAAACGAGTTATAAAACAAGCTTTGACTCTATGCCAGGACTCATGGGTTCTTTTGATTCCTCACCCCACGGAAGACAAAGTCCCAAGTTGCTGTCCAAAAAGTCACTTTTGCAAGCTTGGGCAAAGGGTGTGTATACAATGTCCATGAGGACATTGAGCCAAGTGGGCTTGTGTACCCCTGTCATTGTATTCATGTCAGGATGTGGTCAGATACAGAAAGGGTAGTTTTAATAGGACCCATCTCTCTTAAAGTGGCCTTCTATCTGCTGGAAAATTGCTCCAGCCTGAGCAAGTGTAGTGTAGTGTAGTGACCCTACAGCTGGACCAGAAAGCTTCACCATGGGCATAGATTAAGGTTTGCCTAAAATACATCTCCTTTTATATGTGACTGCTTGGAAATAGATCACAGCAGACCACTCTACAAGTGGTCCAAATTGCAATCTATTTCCCCATGTGATCACATGCTCCTACTCAATGCAATAATAGAAGTCCTTTTTGTACATGGACAGACTTCTCCAGATCTTTTGGTTATCAGGAGGTCTATAAATAATGAAAAAGGGCAAACCAAATAAATAGATCTCAACATACACATAAACACAGAGAGCAAAACAGTAGCAAAGCAATGCCATCCATTTGAAAGAGACATCAGGAGGCTTAGGGGAGTCCCAGGATTTGCAGAAGTTCCAACAAAATTTACGTGAAAAAAACCCTAGGGAAAGAGAGATAATTCCCAAGACAACCCAATGATAACCCAAGACAACCCAACTAGGCATCCTCAGTGCCTAACAACAAGGGTATGCTGTGAAACAAAAGGCAGATGGATGAAAATGTGTATTGAATAGAGTATCAAGGAAGAAGACATGGATATACTGGTTGACTGGCACACTGAATAGTGGAACTCCACATTGCAACATTTTGTTGATGATCCCAGTTGAAATGTCTCTTACCTTATTTCCTTGAATGCCTTTTGGACCGGGGTCACCTGGAGGGCCACTGATTCCCTTGAGTAAAAGGGGGGAAAAGAGGTTTTCTACTAACATATACAACTCCAATTACAAAAGCCAGATTGTAAAGATGTATATGCAATAAAAGATGGCACAGTACTGTGTGAATTCATTTCATTGTCCATTGTTGAAATGTCTCTTACCTTATTTCCTTGAATGCCTTTTGGACCGGGGTCACCTGGAGGGCCACTGATTCCCTTGAGTAAAAGGGGGGAAAAGAGGTTTTCTACTAACATATACAACTCCAATTACAAAAGCCAGATTGTAAAGATGTATATGCAATAAAAGATGGCACAGTACTGTGTGAATTCATTTCATTGTCCAATGTTTGTTTTGTTTATAGGCTACCTTTCTCCCAATAAGGGGACCCAAAGACCAAAGAATCGGTAATGGATAAGAGAGGTCAGCAGTTCCATTGAGAAGGCAAACATGTTCTCACAGTATTACAGAAGCTAAGCTCTATCGCTGCAGAATATACTGTTGAACATGATTCAGTGACAACTCCCTGTGGAGCCCCTGCCCCCATTTTTAAAATAGTATTGCAGTACTTTGGCTAGCTTCTCAACCTCCAAGAAACAGCTCCAATGTACTGATACTTCGCATGCCATTTTTAAAAGATCAATAATTTTGTATTTTGAGATCTTCCAGAATCTGGTGCACATTCTTTGCCTCTAGTAACTTATTAATTTCTGAGGCTTCATATAATCTTAAAGTTTAACTCCCTTGTTACCTCCTTTTGACTGAAATTCTGGCATGGAATGCTGGCAACTAACAAAAGTTAGGAAGAAATAATTGATGAGAAGTAATGATCTATGAAAGAATTCTTACTGATACGCTATTAATGAGGTACATGTCAACACATATCTGTTCAATGGCAGTTGTGTATTACAAGTTTTCTGTGATATATTTATTTAATGTGAAGGATCTTCAGGTGGTGTCATTCTCCCCCCCCAATAAATATCCAGCTCTTTGCTCTGCTCCACGGTTGTGCCAGAAACAGGCAAATAGTGTCACAGCTATCTGCCAAAGAAAAATTGCTCCTTACTGCAAGCCCAATGACACCAAAACTGATAATGATGTTAAACAAACTTACCTGAGGGCCTCTTGGCCCTTTTGGGCCAAAAGGGCCTTCCGGTCCCTGTTGAAATGAAATACACAGATTAATAATAAATCTTGTCCAAAATTATACTTCCTAAAACAGAAGCAGGAATAACTGGGTCACCCTCAAATAAATACTGGAATCCATCCTGATTTCAGATTCACTAGGCTAACCAAAAAAAGCACAAAAACGTGTGCAAGGGTTCAGGTTTACAATATCTTTGTCAGGCAAGATGTTAAAAATTTAAAAGGGGGGGAGAGGAAAACAAGACAGGCTTCATCTGTATCTGACAAATCATAGAATAAAGTTAAAGAAATCCCTGCTAAGGCCTCTCAGGTGAAACTGTGCTTGTCATTTTTAGCGATTCTGAGTGCTAACCAAAAGCTTTTGACTGGGAAGTTCTTGTGATGGACAGAATGTCAGTGAAAAGCACCACAGCTGTAAATTCCATCTTACTCCAGAAATAGTGGAAGACTAAAAATAAACCCCATTTTCTAAGGAGAAAGAAAATCATGAGAAGTCTGAGGAAAAGTCACCAGACAAATTGAGGCAAACATTCTATTGTGGATGTTGGCAAAAAAATACTTCTAATGTAAGTGTGGAACCCACTACATTTAAAGGAACATATATTCCACTTTAGAGGAAGCTGAAGAATTAAAACATTTCCTCCTTCATTTTAGATAGCACCAGTGGCCACAGTAAACTCAAAGCTGTATCCATCCCATTTCAGCTCCTGCTGCACTGTTAAAGGTGTTATCATTGATGATGATGATGATGATGATGAATGATGATGATGATGATAATAATAATAATAATAATAATAATAAAAATAAAAATAAAAATATTTATTCATTTATTCATTCATTCATTTATTTGTTTATTCATTCATTCATTCATTCATTCATTTTATTACATTTCTGTCCCGCCCATCTAGACCAGAGAGACGCTGCAGGGAGATGTCACAAGTGTATTGACTTCCTGGGGGAATATGAAGAATAGTGTGGCAGTTACAGCTTCCTAGCTCAATTTTTTTCTGGGTAAGGCTCAATATTTGTCAGCACCCATACAGTGAAAGGACACAAGCATGTACCTGTATTATTAATTTTTGTTTCCTTTAATCCAGAAGCATCTAAACTGGAGATGAGCAGAAAACAGCTAGTTCAGAAGCTTGTGCTGGGTCATTTCTTAGCCAAACAGGCGTTCAGTGGTTCCCAGCCCCATCTCTTCTGATGGGCACTCACTCAGAGGCAGGACCCTGACTTCCCTGCCCAGCCTCCTCCGAGTGCTGCCCCTGAGTGGGCACCCACTGGAGAAGGCAGGGCTGGGAACTGCTAAACACCTGTTTGGCTGAGAAATAAACTGGTGGCTTGTGCCCATCTCTAACCTAGACTCATCATTTTTCTTTTCTAAGGGAGGTGTGAGAGTGGCCAGATCTGGCCATACTTTTCTCTGCACCAAAAAAAGGAAACAGGCAGATTCCAAATCCTTCAAATATTGCTTACTGCTATTGAATTTAAGCACACATTTAGCAGTGGGAAGTCTTGATATATCACCAACAAAACAAATCTAAAGGTGGAAATAAACATAATCATCCCTCATGGACGAGGCTGGGCCATTTAGCCCCTCCTTCAGAGTCATACTTTGTGGTGGAATTCACACAGAAATAGACCCATAATGTAGGTATTGTATGGAATTGTCCCCAAAAGAGATGTAAATGACGTCCTCATGTTTCAGCCAATTATCATACACAAGGTTTATTTTCTCAGGTTAAAAAAAATGGCTGGGACAAAAATTGAGTCAGCACATCTGCTGCTTCCCCCACTTTCTCGCACAGAATACATTGGGAGAAAAAAATACACACTTTTCCAGCAAAGCAGGATGCTAAGAAGCAAACATGACATTTTCTACTAGTCAATAAATTGAGCATGGGCACTCAAGGTAATACAAGGAACATACATTTAACCCTTCTGCTAACCTTAAACACTGCTCTAACCAGCATTTAGGGTTAGTCAGTATGTTTCCAGTGGGATCGTAAAATGCTCCAGATTTTAATGCAGATGTTCCATAATTGATCTGAAGCCAAGCCATCAGCCGTTCCGTGATTTTTTGAGCTGTTTTGAAGGGAATAGTACACTGAATGCTGTTGACTGCCCTTTAGGGAAACCCAGACTTCTTGTGGGCAATGAGAAAAAACAGTAAACACTGCTGAATACTATGTAATAAATCATGTTTTGAAGGGTTTTTTAAGAAGTTGTGTCAGGACACACAACAGTACAGTCAATTATGCTGCCAGGCTGATCCGTCTAGAATGGAAATGTGCGCCTGAATATTGGCACCATGCGCCTGATATTTTACACTACATACTTGCTGTGTGTTTTCCACGTCTGATTACTTTCCACTGGCATGATCTCTGCCATTAAAAAAAGAGGGGGGAAAAGTCTCCGTTCATTTTTGGTAATGCCTTTTCATCTCATTGTGCAAGTGGGAATCCTGTGGGTGATGAGAACTTTGGCCTGTTCAGAAGTTTCTTCGAGTGCTTAATCCATTACAGTTTTTAATCCTTTACAGATGTTTCTCCTTCGTTGCCTCAGTTTTTTAAAAAAAAGTCTGAATGCTGGCAAAGTTCTTTCTTTGTATTTCTAGCATTTGGATGTATGGTTTCTATGCCTATTTTCCATCCCATCTTAATTGCCAGCTGCTAACTACTTTGCTTTTATCTTCACATATGAACACACATATTTCACACCATCATTCTATGACTTCTTCACTGTTTGCCTGTGGAAAGTTGGCTGCCAGTGCTTGTGCGACAAAACAACCCATAAGTCAGAATCCTAGAACTCCACTCTCTGCTTTGCTCCAAATTGCAGGATGTCCCTAAGAACATGTACCTACCACACCTCTCTCCTCAATCTTCCTCCCTCACTCCTGACATCTTACTACAATGTTGTACAAGAGCAACACACATAAACATTCTAAGATGCTACTTGGTGTGACTTGAGGAGGGGGTTCCACCCACCACCAGCCCAACAAACTGTTTGCATGTTGATCAAGAATGCCTGCCTGGTATGAATAACAACCATGCCAAGAAACTTTGAAAACTGCTTGATGAGGACGGACGCATTGTTATCGAAAGCTCGCTATCTACTTGGTTATTTCATTGGTCCAATAAAGTTATCGCCTGTTACTGCACTTAGACATAAAGATAGCTCGACTCCAAGAACCTGACTCCAACCGAGTGTAGGTAGAGAACACACTCAGACTTCAAAAACACTTCACACAGAAATTTCAAACTTTCTCCTTCTCCAGCACAGCACATCCTGAGATTTGTTTCTCTGTCTGGTGGAAAAGGAATTCTCTGAGACTTTAGCTGGTGCCCTCAGACTGGGTAGCCCTAGGGTTAAGTCTTCCAGGTTTTACTCTGCTTTTCGTTAGAACCTAGTCATACACAGGGTGTAAAGGAGGTTGACCGCCTATCTTGTTTTAAAGGGAACAGTTCTCTATTTGCAGGAGTGTCAGAGAAGAATCTTCTGTTTGAAGTCTATGGGCTCCAAGTGTAGATTCAAGATATGGAAGCCATAAGGGAGGAAAGCCAGCACTATATTAAGTCAAATCATGAGACTCTCTTTGGGAGATATTGCTGTTCTAGGCATACTTGTTTAGAGTAAATCCCACCAAAATCAGCAGGAAGGATTGAGTGAAAATTAAAGCCAAGAAACCAAAGAGGACCAAGTCTATCTTTTATATCCTGCGTAAGCACAGTACAGCCCAGATATAAAGGCATAAACTGAAATACTATATGTATTTTAATAAGCTTTATTTGATTCAGGTCTTATTGTGGAGATTGTTATTAACCAATATGTGTTTTGCAATGTACTGATTTTCAGAGCCCCTACTTCTGACTCCAGTTTTTATGTATATCTATGTGAAACTTCAAAGTATGGGTGTTTAACTCTGCAATACAGGAATTCCCATTGGGACAGAGGAAAGTATGCTCAGGCAAAGCAACCAGTATAGGCCTGAACCATTTTCAATATTGTCATTTGGTCTTAGAGTATGAAACCAGTCCTCTTTGGACAGTTGAATCATTTTTTTCCAGAAGGAACACAATGCAGAATGAACTAACCTTCCACCCCAACAGACAAGCATCATGAGTTACTGAAAAGTTCATACCACTAGAAGTTGGATTGAAAAAGAATAATTGCTATTATCTTTTGCCATTCATAGAGGCCATTCCTTCTCTGTGTCCTCACATAAACTGGGGATATTTGAACAAAATACTAATATAGCTGATATGCTTTTGACACATAATTTAAAATAGGTTGAACTTACTCTGTCTCCCTTTAGTCCTGGTGTTCCACATTCCCCTCTGTCACCCTGAAAAAATAAATAAATGTTATGGGCCTGATTTTAGAGTAAAAGTTCTCACACAGAGAGACAGACAGAGGGGGACACAGCTTCTGTGTGTTTGTGTGTGCGTGAGTGTGTGCATTTCCAGGTGTGTGTGTGTGCATTTCCACACAAGGCAAGAAATATCTTGCCTTTCTCATCTTTTGAGAGACAGACAATAATGTTAGTTTCTAGCTCTGTGACTGGTATGATCTGTAAAGGTTAAAAGAGGTATTTTGTTCAGAAGCCAATAGTAAAAATAATCCCTGCCATGACGTTTTATGGACTGTACTTCTCTTTTCCCCCCTCTTTGTTCCTATTCTAGTTCTATTTACAACTTATGCTTAATATTTCTCTAGCACATTGCTTTTCTAAACATGTATTTCCATTATGTAACAAACAGTTCAATAAAGTGTTTGGAAATGATTTGCTAATTATCTTACCTTGTCGCCTTTATAACCAGGATTTCCCTGTTATCAAAATTATAAAAATAATAATAATAAATAAAATTTAAAAGTCATGTTATCATGGATAAATATAACTATCAAGATGATACAGAACATTCTTATTTAATATTTTTATTAGGATGTCTTTTAATCTCCTAAAATCATATTTTCTACACAGCACTGGCATCCAAAGTGGCGTAAACATCATCCTAATATTTCAGCCATTTGCCATGCAGTTATGATGAATAACAATAGTATGGCAATGACAATGACTAATACTATTATATTTGTATCCAGTTTCCCTACTTCTAATGCAATGTTTTCTGTCAAATTGGCATCCCAGTTTATTACCTTTGCAAGACCCTTCTAACTGAAATAACTAGCAGCTTCCAATGTCACTTTGTCTATTACCTTTATCCTCATTTGGTCATAGGAATATGTTTAAATATACAGGACATATATTTGCACTTCTGAGTCTGCGGAAGAAGATTTTGCTCCAAGGAAGCATGCACTGAAATAAAATTGTTAGCCTTTAAAGTGTCACAATAGTTGACAATAGTTGACCTATCTTTAAAGTGTCACAATAGTTGACAATATTGTCAGCTTGGATCGGGCATCGGAATGTTGCAAAGTCCTACTCTGCAAACAATCTTGGGGACATTATTATTCAAAATGTACTTCTAAGCTCTGATCACCTCTTGAACATTTGGTATGTACAGGGCAGTTCTAACAATCAAAATCAGTCTGAATCAGTTTATCAGACATTGAGCTACTATTTGAAGACCTATGATTTCCAACACTGGAAAGAAATGTAATGGTTACATACCTCTGAACCCTTCTCTCCAGGTTCTCCTTTCTCAGCCTCACCCTAATGAAGATAGAAACTAATTAAAATTCTAAATTGGAAACACTGGCCAAGATCCTGCAGGAAACTTTGCCAACAAAATTAAGTGGGGCGAGTGGATTTAAAAAGGGAAGGAAAGAAGCAAATGACAAATGTTGTGGCACATTAATAATTGGTGGAGTTCTTTCAGTGTAACCTTCCACAGATGAAAACAACATCTTAAGAAGTAGATTTTAATCTACGAAAACTCACAAATCTGTAAGTCTTTAAAGTGCCACAACATTTTTCCATTGCTTTTTCCTTTTTTTGAAGAGTAAAATCCTGAAATTTTAAAGAATTTAATTCTCACTTACCTTTTCTCCCTTAGATCCTCGTTCTCCTTTATCCCCCCTGCTACCATGATCACCCTTGAGAAACAAAGGGAGAAAAATATTATTAATAGAATATATGTTCTATTCATTGTAAAAAGGACTTGAGAAGAAAGAAGGACCAGTGATTGAGTAATACAACACAATGTGTAAGAGAATGGAGAGCATGTGGTTCTCAATGTTGATCTAGTAAATGCCTTTGTTCATCTTAGATTGGATGTAAAACATCACATAATTGCTTTGCCCCATGGCTGCTGTTCACCATCCCTGTTATCAGAGCCCTCTGAGTCCAAGTTTGTGGAAACATGGGCATGAAACTATTATTGCATTCATATCCTGCTTGTCAACTTCCCTAAGGCACCTAGTCATCCACTGTGGGGAAACCGGGTGCTGACTGGACAATCCTTTGGACTAGATCCTTATCAGTTTGATCCAGCATGATTCTTCTTATGCTGTTCCACCATCTCCTCTTCTCTCTGGGACCAGGTGGTAAATAGAGCAGGTGAACCTAAAAGTTCTCTTTCTTTTGTGGGGTCACATTCTCAACTTTTTTCTTGGTGATGGGCATGACTGCGCCTTGAGGTTATACAGGAGATGCTCCAGCTTGCCACAGGTGTCAAACATGGTGCTTAGGGCTCTGCTTTTGATCCTTGCTTTTTTGGCTTATTTCAGTTTTCTAAGATCTATATAATTATAATTTTATGTTGTCAAGTTAATTATGACATGGCAAGCCTATCAAGGGCTTTCCAGGTGGTTTACCATTCCTTTCTTCTGGGGCATCCCCAAAAGTATGGCATGTGCATAGGCTGGCTCTTTTCCCTGAATGCCCAGTGGGGAATCAAACGCCCTATGTCCGGTTCCACAGATAACTAATTCACTGAACAATCCAGAAACCTTTAAAGTGTATAGCCATATAATATAATATAATATAATATAATATAATATAATATAATATAATATAATATAATATAATTAATATAATATAATATAATTAATATAATATAAGACTCATTTTGTTCTTTATTAAGGTCCGATATCACACAGGCTGTATCTTTATCCCACAGAAGTGGAACTCCCAACCCTCCTTTTCATTGCAGAACATATACAGAGAACTGTTTATTCAAACAAACCTGACCAGGAAAAACCTATTGCGAAATGCAGCATATGTAAAAGAAATTGTACAAACCATCTGCAAAATTTTCTGGCCCTCTATCATATTCCTGGACATGCAATCAACTCTATGACCCAGCTGTTTATGAGTGCATGATGGACAGCTGGACCGATAGTGCCAGCTACACAATTTTGGGCTAACACTGCACAAACCCAGTGAGATTCTGGCCACTGGATACAAGTTATCACCCACAAATATCTTCATGGTATTATTAAGAAAGACAATAACAGCTGTGGTTGCTACTGCAACTGCAGCAGCTGTTGCAACTATTACAATTATTAACTGTTGTTGTAGCTACTGTTATACAAGCCCGTGCAGCTACAGAACAACCTGTATCCTGTTTCCTCAGAAAATAGCTCTGATGAGCTCAATGGGACTTACTTCCAGATAAGTGGGTATAAGATTGCAGTCTTAGTCTCATTGGAAGAAATAAGACTTAAACTAGTTTTGACTCTTTTCATTGCTTTCTACTGGACTCCCTCACTACTCGCTACTAACCTTTTGTTAACTATTCCAGACCCAAGTACAAAAATGGGCTTGTCATCCATTCATAAAAACACATTTCAAGGTTGGGAAATTGTTAGATCAATAATAAATTAGGAGTTAAAGAAGCTTTCCAGTTGTTTGGAACCATCCATCAGCTAATGATGGTATAAAACTTGGAGTGAATGCAAATAGCCCAGTTATTACATGACAATTTTTTGTACATGCTTTGTCTTTATTTTGAGTGAGCAATTCTTCCCTCTTTTCCTTCTTGCAATATTTCAAATATTCGTTTATTCCCCTTTGGTGTGATTGTTTGCTCTTATAAATTACAAACTTAGGTTTCTGCTGTCTTACATGCTTACCTTTGGTCCTGGAGGCCCTTGGTCTCCCTTCTGACATTCACATCTCTTTCCACACTAGACGTTTAATAGACAGATCAACAAAAGGATGCCATATTCCACATTTGAGGGATGATGTGACAGCAACAGAGAAACAATGCTTTTTGAATAAATAACAACATTTGAAATCTACTTAAAGCAAGTTACAGAGAACACAGGAAAAAGAATACAGTGGCTGAAATTCTGTTGCTTGTACTGTAAGTGTAAGAAAATGCAGATTTTTCCATCCATTTCTAAATGGCAACTAAAAAGTCTCCTCCAGGATTTTTTGGGGTATTCTGGCTTGGTGATGTGTGTCCTGAGAATCACAGCAGAGATTTTTTTTTATTTGTGACTTAGGATTGGACTGAACATTACAAATTTTCTTAAACAAAGCAACAGGATTTCAGCTGTTGAATCAAAGGATGAAGAGTTTTTTAATGTTTTTTTTAAAAATGGCTATACAGGTGCACATGCTTACTTCAAAAGCATCTTTTGAGAAACAGATATACTTGCCACCATCGTTTGTAATAATGATGAGCATATAATTTGTCTGGACTTGAGCCTTATGCAGGCATTTAGGGTAGAACTTATGAGAAAAGGAAGCAAGTTAGCCCAAACCCATGTCATCTATCTCTTGGCCCGCAGAGCAATATTCTGAAAAAGGAAAGTATTGCTATGCACGGGGATTCTCCGGGACTCTGAAATTCAGGGTTTCTAACTGGCTAGGAGACTGTCTACCTGACATGATGAGAGAAATAACACAGAGGATTGGACTAATCTGCTCTCATATTTGGATCAATACTATTCCAAACACATGAAAAGAACAATGGAAGATCTGCTTCTCATGAGCTAAGAGATCACCATAAGATCTAAATGCTGTGTGCAAGCCACCAATGGCAAATATTTTCTTGGGTTGGGCAATCACCTGCATTCCAGTACAAAAGAAGTGCAGTCTTATCCCTGCAGGGCGAAACTTGTTAGGCAGAGTGAGGCAACAGCTTCTGGTGGCCACTATTGATGAACAGCAGGGGCAGTGCCCTTCCCAACCATTCCTGCTGAGCTCTGCCCCTGCACCAGTGTTCTCCTCTGTAAGAAGGCACAACTACATGCAGTAGTTTAGAAGTAACTAGGAATTCTCAGTCTTTGCAAACATTTGTTTGGGACTACTTCCTTCCTTTGTTTATGAAGTAATTTTCCTTATTTTGTACAGGAGAAAAATTAGTCGCTAAAAGAAAAACCTCCTGGCATGCCACAATATGGGGAATTCATATGTATGCACACACACTGTCTCACCATGGAGAAACACAGAATTCACTTTAGCTTCTACAGGGCTAATGCTCCCCTGGTGCAATTAAATGGTTCCTGCTCATTTCCTTCCAATATCCTCTTAGTCTGCCTTTCTCAGTCTCTTGCTTCTGAGAACAGCTTACAGTACTTCTACCACCCAAGCATCCGTTCTTGTGGTTTCAGGCTCCAAAAATCACCTTTCTAAAGGGAGGTCTTGCCCTTTAGTCCTTGCATCTGCTCAGCCTTTTCCAGGAAAGACCTCTGTGCTGATTCTAGCCCTAAATGTTTGTGACTGCAATTCCCATCAGGCCTAAGTAGCATCGGCAATAGTGTGGCATCATGGGAGATGAAGAGCAAAACATCTGGAGGGCCACAGATGCCAACACAATTTTAAAGGATTACTTCTGCTGGAGGAAAAAAAAAGGTTTCACACTATTATGTGTGAAAAATCAGATGAATTAGTACATATCAGTACTTGTATTTTCTTAGAAGAAAAACACCTTTCTGTGTAATAAGTGTAATGAACAAATGGTCCTCCAGGTTTTGTTGCACTGAAACTCTCATGATACCTCACCCTCACTTACTATGCTGGCTGAGGCTGAGAGGAGCTGAAGCCTAGTGACATCTGGAGAGCCAAAGGTTTTCCATTGTTAGTGTAAGACAATGTTACCTGGAAAGCAGCATGACATATACTGGAACCCCACTCACCATATCCCCAAAACGTGGTCAACTTACCTGCTCCTCAAATAAAGCACCCTGTAAAATAAGAAGATAGAAAAATGCATCCAGTTACCACATACCACTTCATTAGCAGCCACATTTTACTTCTTTCATTTATATGTTATATATAAGCTGCCTTTCATGGGGCATCAGTTTACACAAAAACAATCAAACCATGAGCATTAATTTAAAAACAATCTAATGGACTCAAGAGGATTTAAGCTTATGCCAGATCTTGGAAATCACTAGTTAGTTTTGGGTAGCAAGTACTATAACTAATAGTCAAAGTTATTTTTAGGTGTAATGAGTAAAAACTATTTGCTTTCAATTGTTACTTTCAAAATCCATCTTACATAATTTTAAACACATTATGATAAGGATTTTTCTGATTTTATACCATTGTCTTATCAATCTAAAGTGGCATAGGAAGTATTATTTAGTTTTGCCTTTCAATATTTCAAAAATGTTTCCAAGGTGCAGTATCAGAATTGGCCACTAGTGGGGAATAGAGAGCATGCCCCTGTATTTTTAAAAACCTAATACAGTACACTGGTAACACACAATGCAGCAAATTATATGCACAATCAAAACAAAATGTAATAAACAGAAAGTAAGTAAGTGACCAAAAGGAATAATGAGGAGAAGACACTGCTGAAAGAAATGTGTTATTATACAAAAGGCTTGTAGGCTAAGCTCTACAGTATGTATCGTTTGTAGATAGAGACTTAGGCATATGTGTATATATATGTCTATGTATGGATATGTGTATACTGTATATTAAAAAATAAAAAATGGGGGAAAATGATAATGATAATGGTAACCTGCCTGCTGAAAAGTAATGAATACACCAGTTACCCAGGAAAGCTACAGTAAGGGTTAAGTGTATATGGAAAATTATGGGCCATGATTACTGGATCCAGATCCTGGGAAATGTCCTCTTCTGCACAGAAGAACTTCAGCAGAGGCAATGTGTCCTACTAGCATCCTGTCTGGATGGGCGAAATGGCGCCTGGTAGATTATGTCCTCTAGCTTCTAAAATTCAGAACTACACACTCCTCATTCATTCATATTGGTTCTGCTCAATTATTGTTTGTTACATTTCTTCTAGTTTTTCTGGCCCATGGGACTTGCTTCCTTCCTTTGTCATGTCTCTGTTTCCAACTTTCACTCCCAGTGCTTCCTTGTGGACTTTTAGGTGATCTTTGATCTTCTGCAATGTCTAATGTTTCTGACCTTCAGACCCTATCACATCCTGTTTTCCTTCTGTCTTTCAGTTTAACAATAAACTGCTAATCCTTTCTCACTGCCTCTTCTACAGAATCATCTTTATAATGTTTCATTGTTTCTGTTAATTTGATTTAGATTTTTTTATGGGGGGTTTAATTTGATTTTAATAATATAATCATTCACTGGAAGGACAGGTCCTGAAGCTGAGGCTCCAATACTTTGGCCATCTCATGAGAAGAGAAGACTCTCTGGAAAAGATCCTGATGTTGAGAAAATGTGCAGGCAAGAGGAGAAGGGGACGACCGAGGATGAGATGGTTGGACAGTGTCATCGAAGCGACCAACATGACTTTGACCAAACTCCGGGAGGCAGTGGAAGATAGGAGAGCTTGGCGTGCTCTGGTCCATGGGGTCACGAAGAGTCGGACATGACTAATGACTAAACAACAACAATCTGATTTCATGATTTGAAAAGTTAAGTAAATTCTACGTTTGCCCCAAATGTTAGAGGATCAATATGGTGGAGTGGGTTGTCCTAGGAATTAGGATTCCCAAATGGCACTGATCATAGTCAGAGCTCAAAAAAGTTAGTTTTTTAAAAAAATTGTAACTCATTGTATTCCTCAGCTTGCAAAACAGCACAGACACTGGCCACATTGGACTGGAGGATTCTGGGAGTTACATCCCCAAAAGTAACTTCTCCAGACCCCTGTACTGGTCACTGAGAGCCAAACTAATCTTCTTCACAGGGTTGTTGTTTTGCAAGGAGAATTACTGCCAGGTGCTCTTTGCTTTGATTTTCTAGGAGGAAAGAGGATAGAAAGTTGGAACTAGAGGAAGCTCATTGAATAATGGAGGTGTAAGTTCCAGCGATTCAATGGGGTTACTTTTAGTTGCAACGTACTACTGGATTTCGTCCATTAACAAAAGTTTTGAACGTTCACACTGTGAAACATAGCCGAGCATGTCTACAAATGTAATATGCTCATGTTGCGCTTTAGAGCCGAAAGGAATCTAGGAGAAGCTTCTGTGAAGTTTCAGAGTATCCTCATGTGGAGAGCTCTCTTCAGCAGACTGGAACTGTTTATTCTGGTGGTGGCTCTGTACTTGTGGACATCTCTCTCCGGCCTTAGTATCCTGCCTATTTCAATCTCCTCTTCATTAAAAATATTTTCAGCATAACAACATGTATATGATATCAAATAATCCCTCCATCCCTTTTTATGCACACATGTGCGTACACACACACACACAAGCACACAAGCAGAGTATCTATGAGTTAAATGCCTTGCAGCAATAACAAAATTAAAAGTAGGGTATGAAACATTTTAAAATACAACTTACCAACCGGTTCCGTATTTTATCTGGAAGGTTGGGATCATTCAAAATTAGAACAGGCTTCCCAGGAGAATCGCCAGATATCAAAAGCAGTTTGGCTTTATTGGCTATGTTGGAAAGGCCAATGGTAATGAAAGAGATGCCAAGCGCTCTGGCAGCTTCAGAGATGCCCTGTACATCGGGGCTCTTTGGATGGTCAACACCGTCAGTCATCAACAAAGCCACTTTGATGCCTGTTTTACGGCCTTCCGTTTTGAACAAGTGAGTAGCGTTGGAAAGAGCAAAATAGGAAAAGGTGCCATGTCCAATGTAGGCCATTTCCTTGACTTTCTGTTTAAAGGTCTGCAAACCTCTCCAATCCGCAAAAGAATGGTCAATCTTGACAGAGCTGCTGAATTGAATGATGGCCAGTTTGATGTCATATCTACGAACGCTGGTGGGCTTCATGAGGAAGAGTTTATCACTTAAAAGGGTGACAAACTCTTTCTGCTTATCAAACAGTACATCTATGGCACTTTCTGAACTGTCCACGATAAAGATGATGTCAATGAAACAAACTGAATCTGTAGCAAACAAGGGAGGAGAGAGATCATGCAAATGCTGAACAAAGTCTCATAAGCAAGAAACAAATTATACAGTCAGACAGATACACATTAAGAGCCAATGTAATGTAGTGAACAGAGTGTGGGGCTATGACTTAGGGGACTTGGTAAAATCCCTGCCTGGCTATGGAAACGTGTAAGAGGGAGAAAGCAATAGTAAACCACTACTTGAACATCTCAAGTACCTTGGAAACGCTATCAGGGTCACCATGACAACACATAACAATGAGAGATATAGGTAAGGATACAGATATAGGTATAGATATAGATACACATGGATGCCCCATGCAGTGACATCAAATAGAAATAGGTAAAGAAAAGACGTAGGTAAGAGGAAATCTGGATCAAGTCATATTATTATTAATTCATAATGATGCTACTGTATTCATTTCCTAAGGACTGACATTAAAGTTGACATAGGAGTTGGGGGGACATTAACTGTAGCTCTCCAGATGTTGCTGGACTACAACTCCCATCAGCCCTGGCCAGCATTATTAATGTGGCAAATGCTGAAAGCTATAAACAAAAATATATGGGGAGCTCTACTTTGCCCACCACTTTTATAGAATAAAAAACCCAGGGATATGTGGTTGTAATTAGGCAGCTGTGGCTAGGTTTCTATGACCTTTTTTCCTGCAACCTATGTTTGAGTTTATGGGTGGGTTTGGACATGTTTATGAGTAATCCGGTGAGAAAAGCCAGATTACTCACAAACATGTTTAAATTGCTTATGGGTTCAAATGTAGGTTGCAGAGAAATGTGAAATGTTATAGAAATCTTTCCCCTAGTTATAATTTATATCTTCTGAATCCTGACTTATTCTGCAACATCCTTAGTCTGAAAAGCTAGTGGTCAAACTAGATGTTGGCAAATCTGCATTTGCTCTGATTAAGACATTTTTCTCCCACAATGGGGTTTCCTTAGAAATAAATTCCTCAGCAACAGAGATGCAAATGAAGCCCATGTTTCAGTGACCAGTCATGAAATAAAGAATACAGGAGGGTGACAAAAGCAGCCATGTGCTGTGCCACTGCTTTTCACCACTTGATAAGCCACCTCTTCCAAAAACATGCTGTGCATATCACCTACAGTAGGTTGACATCTGTATTCTCTGTATTAAAGAAGAAGTAGAAGAGGGCATTAAAGTACAGTAGGTAAACTGGGATCTCCTTGTGTGATTTATAAAAGATTAACATGAATTTCTCATTCTAGGCAACATTTTCCCATATGGAACTAATCAAACTCAAGCATAAATAAAATCCATTAAGAAAGGTATCCCACAAAATGTGCTACTACAGCATAATTGTTCATCATTTAATGTCCTAAAATCATAAGCTCAAGGGATTTTGGAGATCATCTATTTCAGCACTCTTCAATAGGTCTTACATAGGAACTGGATGTTTTGCTACCAGCTGATTACCAATTCAGCAGAGCAGTGCTAGCTGGATTGGCCACTGCTGTTGTTGCATAAATAGTTATTGCTGTCACAAAAATGTAGTTTTCATGTTTGTACAGATCTTGGATGCCTCATTGCGAAGAAATAAAAATGGTCACACAACAATTCATAGAACAAAATAAGTTGACGGTATTGGATCTTTCCTGGCCTATGATAGAACGCTAAATCATGAGAAATTAAGCCTCAAGGACATGTTTAGATCACCACTGTGAAAAGATCTATAGCAACTAGGTGAAAAATAGATTACACATAAAGAAATGGCAACTTCATTCTCCAAATCTTTGCTATTCAAATCTGTTGGTTATGCCAATTCACAGAATACATAAATCGATCTACACTTCATGCCATTCTGTGTCAAAACACCATTGCAGTCTCTCCAGATGCTTCATTCTCCCTCCCCCCCCCAACACTTTGGACCTCTTCCAAGCCGTTCTGAAAATGTGGTTGGGCTTTCTGCATTTTCCAGCAGCACATTCAGCATAAAATGTCCATTGAGCTCCTTTAAGCACAAAGGGGTGGATACTCGGAAAAGAATATAACAAGGGCCCTTGTAATCCTGTCTTGATGGGGAACACACTACCCAATAAGAATCCAAGATGGATTATCAAAGACACAAAATGCTTATGTATGAAGTTGTCACTTCCCCCTTGGAGATCATTCTGGGAGTCTTGGAAACATTTCATACAGCATATTGCAAATTCTAGGAAAAATGTCTTTTACCCTGGAAATTGTCTTTTCTTGCAAGAGAACTTGGCTTCTGTCCCTTCTTTCTGTTTTGTCCATACACTACACAGATCGTAGCAACAGTCAAAGCCAACAGGCAAAAGACAGAATGTTTTTTCCACATAGTGACTGGTATCCCAAATTAAATAACTGTTACTGCTCCTCCTAATAAAAAACACAAAAATAGCTATTAATGCTTCATAGTTATTAAAAAATGAAGAGTGCATATATAACACAAATTTGTGTGATATACCTTTGGTAGCCAAGTCATACAATCCTACAGAGTTTGGAATGGCAATAAATTACTCAACATTTTCTTATAATGCATTTCAGATTATTGTATAATAGCTTACATAAAGCAATGCCTACATTCTAATATTTTCAATCTTCAAAAACACTATATTTGTTCTTGGTTTTTTTTTTTAGTGGGTTGATTTCCTACCTTTATTTATTTATTGGGTTATAGTGATTCATTTTAACTAGTGGTTTATTAAAACCAATCCCTATGCCTTGCTTTAAGCATATATTCTGGACACATGAATTGTCTTATGAGTATAATATCATATAGTAAAATACTGTATAATTCTTTGAGATGAGTAATCAATTGTTTTACAAACCATTTTTGCGCTGAAAAATTCAAGCTCCCCAGACTATTTCTTTTGCGAAAACTATAGAAACAACCCATTTCCAAAAAGTGGGTGCCTGTACAAATGTGCTTCAAAACTGTGCTTTACTTTTCAGAAATCTTGGCAAGAATTCACATACAGTGCATTTAATTTATGTGGCCCCATTGTTTAAAGAAACAAAGCTATGTAGCAATGAAAGAGTGCTACCGTGTTTGCAATTATTATAGCAGAATTTATGATATAAAATAATATTACTAACACATCTGTCTGGCATACACACAACTTATTGGACTACAAAATGAGAAACTTTCTCCAACACACTAATTATTGTGACTCACAGTGTACAATCTAATTGAAAAGTTAGTTCCCCTGGGTTTATTTCCAGGAAACAGAGAACAGGATTAAATCTTACACCTAAATTTCAGAGAATCTTTTGTAAATTAGATAATTAAGACACTACTAATATGAAATGTTTCAAATATATACTTCACTTATTTCCCTCAAATATATAATATTGCTAAACTCCACCCAATATCTTGGAACAGTTAATGCATCCAATACAACATGAAATTAACAATCTGACACAATCATCATAACTTTGTTTCAGGTACCTTTATACTAATTTTGCTGAGATAAGCTATTTCTCTTGATATCTTACCTTACAGAGCATGGAAGCAGTGAATTGGAGAATAAATAATCTGTAAACAGATACAAATTAAAAAGTGCATTCCTAGGTGTTCCCTTCCCTCTCCCCCCCTATTTTTTTTTGCAAAAGACAGCAATCCTTTAATAAATAATCAGTCCTGATGCAATTAAAGTTACCTTGGATCTGGATCTTATATGATCCTTTATTCATGTTTTATTAGTCCAAGTTGAGTGCAGACTGGTTAGGCATTCAGCCAAATCTGGCAATCTGGGTGGGAGCATTACAAACTTTAAAGGAACAGCCGTTCTGAGAGTTTATTTTACAAGCAACAAGTTCCTTGATACATGCTATTAAGTACATGAGAGTGGTGTTTGTACCACCTGCTTCTATCTGTGCCATTCCTTTGCCCTCATCTGTTCTGATCATTTAAGGGGCACTTCCGATAGGACAAAATTAAGGAATACAGTAGCTATTTATCCTACTATAATGATGCCCCAAATGTAACTAGCATCAGCATTCACACATGCACATCAAATAGACCCAAAGGGGGTGTGTGTGGAGTATCTAGAAACTGTAATCTAAGAAAGGAACTTTCCTGAGCTCCATATATTCTTATGCATAGGCATATACTGTATAAAGTAACTCGGGAATATAACTTTTTGGATTAGAACTCTTAGAACTTCTTGCCAGTATGGACACTGAAAGGGATTTTCAAAACTGTAGCCCAAAAAGTAACTTTTTTGAACTCTGCATTACAGTAACTGAAGCAGGACAAGTTTAAAACTGGATGAAGACTTGAACCAACCATCTATGATCTAATAGAGCTCTTCAGAATTTATGTTTAGTTAGGGAGTGGATCCCAGATTATGCATCTTCCGCTTACTCTTCATTTATACACACACACACACAAACATGTATATATAATGTATATAATGTATATATAATGTACACATGTAGATCTCGGTTGTCAGAATCAGGAAATTTGAAAAAGCAAGGGTCCCCATTGTTTAGTGTGAAACTGGAAAAAGAAAGAGAGTAGTATGTCACCAGTCAAGTAAATATGGAGGATGGAACAGATTGTATGTGACATCACCCTCCTCCCCATGTATTCAATTTTAGGAAGATACTGTATCAGGGAACATTTATTTACAAGGTATTTCAGACTCTAGATCCCATGACCCCTTACTACAGCCATGCGAGGTAGGGCTGACAGGGATTGAGGTCCGGAACATTTGGAAGGCTAAAGGTTATCCATGGCAGTTTTAAGATACGAAAAGGGCTGCCCTGCAATAAGGGACAACATTCCAGATGAGTGAAAGTTTCTGTTTGTTGTTATGCATCATCAAGTGGCTTTTAACCTATGGCAACCCTATGAATTGTTGACCTTAAAAACAATGTCACTAATTCTTGTGCACATATATACACACATGTATAACTATAATTTAAGGTGACCCTCTCAGATTTGTCTAGGTATACAGTACTCTGAAGTGGTTTCCTACCTGGTTCTTCTGGACGTGCTCTGGGCTTATGGAGAGTGCCCAGAAGAACACAGGCTGGTTGTTCCCCTGGGAGACACAGTGGGGATTCGAACTCCTGACCAGGGCAATCCAACTCAGTGATCTGTCTAGCTGCCTCAATATATACCCTGTTTCCACGAAAATAAGACCTAACCTGAAAATAAGCCCTAGTATGATTTTTCAGGATGCTCCTAAAATAAGCCCTACCCCCAAAATAAGCCCTAGTTAAGTGAAACCCCGCCCTCCACCATTGTGCAGCAACCAGAAGATGACATGACTGTATCTGAATAAATGTCGATTGTTGTACATGAGAAAAAAATAAAACATCTCCTGAAAATAAGCTCTAATGCATTTTTGGAGAAAAAATTAATATAAGACCCTGTCTCATTTTTGAGGAAACATGGTATGTATCTGCATGTATAAGATGCCCAGTGTGGTGTAATAAGGGTGTGGAACTGGTAAAATCAATCCTTAATTTTTTTTTCTTACCTTGAAAATCCTATCATCGTTGTTCGAAGTCAGTCCCAACTTGGTGGCACAGAATGACAAGAGCAGGGACCTACATGTATATGGTATGTGTGCATATATATGCATGGTTGTACATGTAACATCATGTTAGGGAGAACTGCTTCCAAAAATTGCATATCTTAAACAGAACTGTGTGTGTTAGGAAAAATATGAATGGAAATGCATATGAATATTCATGTAATTTGAAAGAAAGAAAGAAATTTCCAGGTGATACAAAAATTGGACAAAGAACTCAGAAGTAATGAAAAACCAAAGCTGACAAATTCATCCATACTTAGGGAATACCTGATCAACTGCAGTCATTCGCAGGCCCCTACTGAAGATATGAAACTAATTAAAGATTGGCTATGCCTCTGTGCAACATGGATAAGAAGTAGTTCAAATATAGGGAGAATACCATGTCAGTGGTGGATCTGACCTAATCATGTAAGCCTAATCATGTAAGCTCAGAATAAAACTTATCATTAAGTAGAATTTATTCCCTAGTCAGCTCATTCAGGATTGCATCAAGATCCAGGAGTCCAGCGGTGGCCTGGATATGTCCTCAGGGGCTCAAGAGCTGACAGAGGCCTGATACCTCTGAACTGAATGGGCTGAGCATCAACTGAGTCCTGGCCAGATCTGTCACCTATGGATCTGAGGGCTCAATGGTCACAACAACCTCTCAGAAAGACCACAACAGTGGAACACACCACCTTCTTCCAAGAGCTCCATGATTGGATCCAATACACCAGTACTGGGGCTCTTGAAGAGACGACAAAATGGCAGGTAGAAGTACAAGAAGCCTTTCTTTACCTGCTGCCACCACTGGAATAAAATTTTAATAAGGAGTTGTCCTTGGTGCTGAACTCTTTATCCACCTGCTGAATTCCTAGGACCAGCTTGGGCGTGACATAAGGCAACACAAATTGGTTTTCTTTGATGAGATTTTGAATAGCTGTTTTTGCTACAGGTATGGGAAGGTACAGTATATGCAGAGTCATGAATAGTCAGAACCATAGGCCAGTCACAGTGAAGCTGGATCCAATGGAAGGCCAACATAACAACAGGAAGGAAGGTGGTGATCTAAAGTCAGAGGTGAAGAAACCTCTTTGGATTACAATCCCCCACAGCTGCATTGGCCATGCTGTCTGGGACTGGTGAAAGTGGCAAGTTAAAATAATCAGAGTACCAAAGTTTTCTCACCTCTGGCTAAAGTCACCTATGAATCAAATACGTGCATGTTCAGGACATTTTTTGTTCTGTTTTATCTTACAGATGTGCCCTCTCAAGTGGAGAAAGGATTACATCAAAGGATTCTGCTCTTTCATAGCATGTGATTGTCCTCATATTTATTATGCTTTATTTCATAGCTAGAATGAACATGGGCTTAATTTACAGGCTTAATTTACAGCAATACATTTATTGCTAGGGTATCTCCAAGTAAATACCATTGTAGGAGGGGAAACAGGTTAATCAGCTGGGGGAAAAACATTCAAAGTTCTCTATGAACATATAAAATTGTGTAGGATATACTTTGTTAGCATCCTGTTGCCTAAACATGGAGCAGGAAGTAAAATTCCATCAGCATCCTGCCTGCTGTGGCAGGCTCCCCATTGTCTGCCTGTTTTGCATTGGTTGTGAGATTGGTCACACAGTGAGGAGCATGTCAGAGGGGGGCAGAGCACACATGTGATTTCCTTCCTTCTCTATATTTAAGAAACAGGATACTAGCCCATAAGTCTCCCCTGGTCAGTCTAGTCCAGTTTTCTGCAGATCTACCGGGCTACAGTTCTCACACTGGCCCTGAAGGCTAACATACTCTATATTATTGTCTCAACAGCAAGAGGTCTTTGCCAATCCAACAGGCTAAAATCCTCTGAAATGGGAAAAGAACCTGTTATCTTTATGTACATAAAATAGTAGTGCCTCCCGCAGTTCAAGCAGGTTATCACATGTAGGACCACCTTGATTCTTTCCACAGACCTACCAGGAGCAAATCAGTTTATACTGTGTCTTTAGTTAAACAATCTGAATTTAATTGTGAGCTTCCAAGACAACTTTTGGCCCAGTCGTGGGAAATAAAAGCATTAAAATTAACATGCTAACACTGAAGTGATTGCTTTCTCTATCAAATGCTTTGAAAGTAATGCTAACTCATTCTTCATGCATTTAAAGTAGTTACTTATATCTGTGCGCCCTTGCTTGCCTTTCCTATAAAGAAGACAACCCATACAATTCCATATGAGAACAAACTCTGTGCAAGCCCCATACAATTCCATATGAGAACAAACTCTATGCAATGAGTTCCTGGCTGACTTCTGGAAGCCCTGGCCAGCATGGCTAATGATTTATTTATTATTTATTTTATTTATTTGATTTGTATCCCACCCATCTGATCAAATAGACCACTCTGAGAGGCTTCTGAATGTTATAAACCAATAAAATAATGAGTCCCACAGTTGACAACAGGGTTTGGTTTCTGTGATCTTCTAACTTGTGGAAGATGAAGGTTGGAGCAGTGGTGTTGGTTTTTGTTACGACTACCCTGTTTCCCGAAAATAAGACCTAACCTGAAAATAAGCCCTAATATGATTTTTCAGGATGCTCGAAATATAAGCCCTACCCCCAAAATAAGCCCCAGTTAAGTGAAATCCCACCCTCCACCATTGTCCAGCATTGTGCAGCAACCAGAAGATGACATGACTGTAAAATAAAACATCCCCTGAAAATAAGTCCTAATGCATTTTTTTGGAGCAAAAATTAATAAAAGACCCTGTCTTGTTTTCTGGGAGACACAGTACACTTTCAGGCAATGTTTCTATACTGTTCTACTAAAGAAATGCCTTTGAAAATGGTGAAATAAATTATTAGCTCTGTGTAGAGATGTCACATCCTTCCTCAGTCTAATAGTATTCACAATGGAACCACAATCCCTTAATCATAATTTTATTAAAGGTTTTACAGTGCATCTGGGGGAAAATGCCAGTAGATCACCAGGTTGAGATTGCGCATTCTGAATTTTAGTGGAAGGGAACTCAGTCTTTCACTACTTTCCTCTCTTCACTTTTTCTGCAGTGCTACGCTATTGTCAGACTGAAAGATGTGCTACAACTAAAGTAACTCTTGGATTCTTATAGCTAGCCATTCATCAGCTCATTTGCTAGCTCATGTTAGTCATGTGACTCCAAAGTATCTCCAGATACAGATGCCATATTAAAAAAGCAACTTCTATGGAAATAGCTGTTGTTTTCTTTTTAGTTAAGATTATAAAACAACCTCAGGCTGATCTCCAGATCATCCAGGACCTGTTGCTTCCATTAGCCTCTTTTTCTTTTCATATATAAGACCTTGGAAATCTGGCAACCCCTGTATGAGGAGAAAATGGGGAAATGTTGATAAGAAGCTTGGCTTTATGCTGCCTTTCAGCTTCTGAATGTTCATTCATGTTACTTAGTCTATTTTCCTGACACACAAAAAAAGAGAAGATAAATTAATCAGCCAGGTCCTGCTCTATATGGATGACTTTAAAAAAAAATTACATCCACGTATCTAGTGCTTATATTATGAGCCTGCAGGTATGGGTCTGAGAAAAAACAACAACCAAGATTTATTTCTTAAAGGCCTGTGGGTATACCTAAGTCGTTAAAGAGAGGCCGGAGAGTGGGTAAAATATATTTCTGATAAACTGACATTGTAAATGATGGTGGTTGTAGTGGAAGTGGAAGAACATGGGGATCACTGAATAATCTCAAAACTGATATTAACCACAGATGTTTTAGGTGGACCTCCACTGCAATGCAAACAAGAGTAATGCAAACATGAGTAATGTTACAGAAAAGGGCCACCGACTTTTCATAGACAGGAAAGAGAATGTTGAATCCTACAACTGTGTATCAGTGTCAACAACTGGAATAATCATGAGATGTGGGTGTAGTATCTCACTGTTTCCGTATGCACAAAATGTGGACTTAGTAGTACACTACTCTCACGCAGATTAAGTCCCAGCCATAAATACCTTTTCTACTACTAGGCTCTATGGAACTAACCAGAGCTTGGAAAAAAAAATACTTTCTTGGACGACATCTTCAAGAACAGATTCTGTGAACTGTAGTTTGAGAAGTAAACAAGTTCTAGATGCAGCAGGACCACCACAGATGGACCTTACAGATCTGCAACTAGACATCAGCTAATTTTTCCATATGCAGCTTTCAGGAAGACCTGACATTCAGCCCCAGGAGTTACTTTTAGATATCAAAGCATAGGATGTTCAAAACAAATTGTAATGAATTGTCATGAAGTGTGTTGGTAGTTTTTGTATTGTATTAAAACTTCTTGATTGTCCTTGGATGGCACCATTCTGAGTTCAGAGTGACTGTATCTTTTTTCTTCCGCAGAAGATGATTTGGGCACCACCTTGTGGCTTTCAGAAGCACTTCATTTGATTCAGGGCCTATTAATAAGTGGTGATGCTAACATTTACAACAGTGGTCCTCAACCTTGGGCCTCCAGATGTTCTTGGACTTCATCTCCCAGAAACCCTGGGCAGCAGAAGTAGTGGTGAAAGCTTCTGGGAGTTGTAGTCCAAGAACATCTCGAGGCCCAAGGTTGGGGACCACTGATTTACAAGACTGATCAATCTGATTTAATGACCTCCAAAAGATCTGATCATTTAGTTTGCTCGGACCTTGCAAAGAAAAGGCAATGGTGTCCTTTACTGAGTCAGCACATCTCATGTTAGCTCCTCTTCTTTTTATGGCTGCAGGAAGAGATGAGAAAGTGCTCTTAATCAAATATACTAATTTTCTAGACCAACCGGCTTATAATGTGCCATCAAGTCATTTCTGACTTCTGACAATCTTTTCTGTGATTTTCTAGGTACCAAATGTTTGAGTGTGGGTTACCATTCTCTTCTATGGGTGCTTTGGGACTGCTCAGTCTTCCCCAGGGCTACATGGGCTGGGTTTTCTCCCTGAAAGAATAAAGGGGAACTGAACCCCTGACCTTCTGGCTCCACTGTCAGGTATCCAAGTTTCTGAGCTTCAAAATCCAATAACTGGTCTCAGATGGAGTAGATCCATTGAATCAATAAGACAATTATTTATTCTCATTCAGTCAGTCCATTCTAATTGTGACTAACAATTGGATTTAGCCCCATAAACTCTCCCTCCCTTGTTTACTCAAGTTCATACCATTTTCGTTTTGTTTCTTGTTTGTAAACTGCTCATACTCACAATTATATTGCACTACTATTGAGGATTGCAAGTAGATAAATAGGTACCACCATGGTGGGAAGGTAACAGCGTTCCGTGTCTAGTCATGCTGGCCACGTGACCACGGAAGCTGTCTACGGAGAACCACACCCTAGAGTTGGACACAACTGGACTAAACGTCAAGGGTACCTTTACCTTTACCTACTATTGAGGATTTCTGAAAAGGAAGTCCTATTTATTTCAACAAGGCTTACTCCCACATAAATGGTTATAGGACTGTAGCATCAAGAAACCATTCTGCTTTTTACAGAGCAATCTTATGCATTTGGATTCAGAAGTCATCTACTGTATATTGAATTCAACTAGGCTTACTGCTCGGTATGTATTATACAGGACTGTAGTTTTTATAGACTGAAAAGTAGAACTAGTCAGGACACCTTGCTGCAACCCTCTTCAAAATAATACTTGTTGTTCTGTTTATCAGAGATTCACAACAAAGATTAACATATTAAGGTCCTTATGGTGTGTTGTACAGTGTGTTGCGTTTATGCATTGCAGCCCACGTCTTCAGATTTTGTTTTATGGCAGAGAAAAGTTGCTAGATGCCTCTTCGTCAGAGTTTTTAGTTCGGTGACAGATCAGGCATGTAAATCTGTCAATCGATTTTGTTTCCTCCACAAGATTTAAATGGGAGAAAGTGTGATACTATTCAATGATGGACATGAACACGCCTTTTTAAATCATTATTTATTTAAATTAGTTATATGTCACCTTTCTCCCAATAGCGGACCCAAGGCAGCTCACAACAGATAAAAACAACAAATTAAAAAAAAAACAGCTATATAAATTACTGGATGATAATAATGGATGATAGCAAAGGGAGCAACCTTCCTAGTCCATGATAATTACTCGCTGGCTCTAGCTGCTGCTAATTAATTACATCTCTTTAACAAAAGACACTGCAAAAATAAATAACAGTAGGCTTTTTAAGACTTTATGCTCTTGAGCCAGCCGCCAGACCCCTCGCTTACAAGGCAGGGCTAGAGCGTCAGCGCGCTCAGGGCTGAAAAAAGCCGCTCAGAAGCCACGCCCACGACATTCCCTCCGTCCTCCTCCCACCGCCAACCGGAAGTGCTCTCTTTTGACACCGGAAGTGAAAAGTGCCCCGAAGGCGGAAGTCGGGGATGCAGTAGTGTGGCTTCTTTCAAAACGTTTCTGCTTTCTTCCCTTTGCTCCCGCTCCTCTTCTTCCTTCTCCCGGCGCAGCTCCTGGCACCTCCTGGACGGCGGGGGTCGCGGGGGTGAGTCCTTTCCGCGGGTCCGGTGAGGGGAAACGCTCGCTCTCCGCTTCGCTTGTGGGTGGGGGGCGGTGGGAGCCGCGCCTTTCAGAGGAGGCTGAAGCGGGGGGGGGTCTTATTCGGCTGAAGACGGGTCGCGTCTTGCGGTTGTGGGGGAGGGAGAGGGTCTTGGACAGCGAAACAGGATTTTCAGTGCAACTAGCTGATTCCCGGGTGTGTATGTCCGCGTGTGCTGTATGAAAAAGGGGTGTCTCAACACGTGTACGAAGCCTGAGTGTAATAGCAGGCCTATTCTGAGTTTCAGTGTCCCGTGAGTGTTGCAAAAACTGAGCAGTTTAATTTGTGCAACCGGAGAATGAGATAAAAAAATAAGTTTAATGTTTGCAGGATGTGGATGAGATCACGTCGCTGTTCCGCCCTTGATTTTGGAGCGATACATAAACATAGCTGTAGTCAAGAGTCTGATTCTTTGCTTGCAGGAGTATGTTACTTGCATGCAGGCGTTGACAAACTGATAATCTAGATGGACTAGACAGCAACTCCTATAGGTAGTGGCGCTCCTGGGATAGGAGGGGCAGGGCTGTTGCCTTCCCACATGTTTACTATTTTCATTTGTTTATCTTCCCGCCTCCGGCCTTTGTGTTAGGCAGAACAGGACGGTTCCTTAGGATTGCCAAGTTGTGTTTGCTGCTCCTGGGTTGCCGCAACAGTTTACACTTAATGAGTGGGACCACTGTGCTCACAAGCCCTGATGGGGATATTGTAGTCACATCAGCGGGAGATCACTCCATTGATTGCCTACCACTGCTTTATGTTCCATTTTCCCTGCCTCTGTTAAACACACTAAAGTGTTGTCCACTCACTTGGTCACTGCTCTGCTTTTGTGACTTGTACTGATGAGACATTAGCACAACAAATTGCAGAACGCCTTCCCTTTAGTTGCACTAGGCAAGGTTGATGGGAGCTGAAGTCCAAAATCTGGAGGTCCAAAGGTTTCCCAACCTTGCTCTAATTATTGGTAATCTCTATGCATTTTGGCATTGCTATTATGGCATAATTAATGTACATCTATGTAGTTTTCATTGGTCAAAGTTACAAAAAGTCATAAGAACTGCAGCAATTTTAGTAATGAAGTTTCATTGTGCTGGAAGTAAAGATACTTTGCTGGGGGTAGAAAGTTGTCCTCACAATGGCAAAGTATCAAAAAATAACTGGATTAGTCTTTTGTTATCCCTGATGGCACTGGGAAGAAGAAATAACAATATCAAAAGATCCCCCTTTAGAGCTGAAAGAATATTGGAGGTTTTATAGTATAACTTTTTGTGTTTCCTTTCTTTTCTCTCCCATATTTTAAAAGGAAACAGTGTCCATATGAATGAACACAGCTGCAGTCTTCCAGGTACCCTTTTCACTGCTTGACCCAATTTGCAACAGCAGACATGAGTGGCTCCAAACCTGACATCCTGTGGGCTCCGCACCATGTTGATAGATTCGTTGTCTGTGATTCTGAACTCAGTCTCTACCACATTGAATCTGCTGTGAGTTCTGAACTTAAAGCAGGGTCACTGCGTTTATCTGAAGAAACGACAGCTACTCTTTTGTCCATTAATTCAGACACTCCATATCTGAAATGTGTGGCTTGGTATCCCAAGTATGATCCTGAATGTCTACTGGCAGTTGGTCAGGCCAATGGTCGGGTTGTGCTCACTAGCCTTGGCCAAGATCACAATTCAAAGTGTAAGGATTTGATAGGAAAAGAATTTGTGCCAAAACATGCTCGTCAGTGTAATACCCTGGCATGGAATCCACTGGACAGTAATTGGCTTGCTGCTGGCCTTGATAAACATCGGGCTGACTTTTCAGTGCTGATTTGGGACATCAGCAGCAAATATACACCAGAAACGCCTGTTGCTACGGAGAAAGTGAGGCTGTCTGCTGGAGATACTGAAGCAGGACTGGTTGTGACAAAACCTCTTTATGAATTAGGGCAGAATGATGCCTGTCTTTCCCTTTGTTGGCTTCCACGAGATCAGAAACTCCTTTTAGCTGGAATGCACCGAAACCTGGCTATCTTTGACCTTAGGAATACAGGTCAAAAAATGTTTGTGAATACCAAGGCTGTTCAGGGTGTAACTGTTGATCCCTACTTCCACGATCGTGTGGCTTCCTTCTACGAAGGGCAGGTTGCCATCTGGGACCTTAGGAAGTTTGAAAAGCCTGTGTTAACTCTTACAGAACAACCCAAACCTTTAACAAAAGTAGCATGGTGTCCTACGAGAACTGGATTGCTGGCTACTTTAACCAGGGATAGTAATATCATCAAGCTGTATGATATGCAGCACACTCCTACGCCCATAGGAGATGAAACAGAACCCACAATCATTGAAAGAAGCGTGCAGCCTTGTGAACACTATATTGCTTCCTTTGCATGGCATCCCACAAATCAAAATCGCATGGTGGTTGTGACTCCTAACAGGACCATGTCCGACTTCACTGTGTTTGAAAGGATCTCTCTGGCATGGAGCCCTATTACCTCCCTAATGTGGGCCTGTGGGAGACATCTGTATGAGTGCACAGAGGACGGGAAGGCAAGTTCTTTAGAAAAAGACATTGCTACCAAAATGCGCTTGAGGGCTTTGTCCAGGTATGGCCTTGACACAGAACAGGTGTGGAGAAACCATATTCTTGCCGGGAATGAAGACTTGCAGTTGAAGTCACTTTGGTACACTCTGCACTATATCCTTCACAATGGGATTTGGGTATATAGGAAGAGAACTATGAAAAGCTTGACCAACATGCAGGGCAATTTATTGATTGGAAAAGTTGCTTGTTGGACTACAGCTCCCAGACTAGCTGGGTAGCCTAGAATATAAGAGTCCCCAAAAAGTAACTCTTCCAAATTCTGGGTTGAGTGTACTGCTAGGCAACATTTTGGTTCTCATGGATGTTGAAAAGGATATTCTCTTCTTGGGTGTTTTGATTCATTTGTTTCTGCTGCTCAGGAATACTAGGTGTAATGGGGGGAAAGGCAGGGATCAGTGGCCCAAATTGACACATACGCAAAAAGAAATCAGGCAGTCACAAAAGGCTCTAGAACATAAGGGGAGGGAAGTAAGCAGAACCTTAAATTTAGGATTTCAGTATAAAGGCAGGAGGAAAGGTGGATAGAGTTTTTGATGATTGACATGATAATATTATTGAAACTAGAAGACTGAGGAGGGAGTTTTTTACAAAGCCAAATAAGGATGGAATGAGAGAGAAGAGGCTGCCAGGGACATGTTCCTTTGGTTAGAGTTCTGCATGTTTGTGGTGTTGGACTAGATTTGGTGCAGGATGGGACTGGGACAGTGAACCTCTTGAAGATTCTCTTGGAGAGCTAGAATGGATCTGGACATTCTACAGTTAAGCCCTTTATTTAAAATAATAGTATACAATGTAAGATATATATAAACAGGAATGTTACTGAAACATGTTTTACTTTGTTCAGTGTATCATCTTGGACGTTGGCCATCACAATTGACAGAATGTAGTTTAAATGATCAAACAAACGAACAGGCATCTCAAGTAATAAACCCCCACCCTGCACAGAACTAGCAATTTATTTTGGCACACAGAAGTTTTGTACAATGCAGAAAAACTGTGTACTGGACCAGCCTATTCAAAATGCTATAGAATTTTTAGAAACATTGGTCAATCAGCTAAGGAAATCTAGGTGCTTAGATACACTGAAGGACTGATAAGTAAGAGAGCACTTTGTCTTTAGTTAAAGCCTAACTATTAGTGGTAGCAGCAAGGCCATGCACCCAGTTTATGTTATGGCTTACATGTCAGCTGTTCATAGAGGGGGGAAAATTCCACTGGAATTTCTTTGTGGGCCTTCAGCAGTTGTTTGGATCCCAGCAATAGTTTCTTCAAGAGCTTAGGTAGGCCAATTCCAGGGAATAAAAGACTCTCCAAGTCAAGATCCCAGGTGAAACTTAAAATTTACCAAGTTTCCTTTACCTGAAAATACTTATGAAACAGTATACGGAGGATATGGATCAGAAATTTACAGGAAACAAAGGATCCTTAGTTTATGCAGGCATCAAATCTATTGTGAAGACCTCTATGGGTAAGTATGTTAAGATTTCTAGCTTATTAAGTAGCATGCCATTTTGTTTTATTCATATTAGCAGGGATCAGACTGGGGATTGCATTTTTAGCAACATTTCTATTTTGACAGTTAGAATTTGGCTTTGGCTTTTGTGCTAATGATTTTGCTTGAGCACCAAATTGGCATTCAGCGAATGCAACTATCATTTGGAGAGGGGTGAAAAAGCTAAATTAACCCTTGAATGAGTGACACCAGGCAGCCATTCAGTCTCAACCGAACATAATTCTGTTTTGTTGAAGGGGAAAGTTGAATGGCGCCTGTCTTTCACTTGAAGACTCTTAGAGGAATGGTGGATTTTTAAGCTGTTTGATTACAAGAAACAAAATATTTCTTCTGTGTTTTGAACTCTGTGTTTCAGTGTCTCTTGGCACCATGGCTTACTCATAAACACTAAGCGGCTGCTTTGAGCTCCTCTGAGCCAATATGCAAAGTCGAAAGACACCTGAAAATAAATAAAGGAAGGAAGGAAGGCGGGAGGGAGGGAAAAGGAGGGAAGGGCTGGTGCCAAACCTGTATTCTGAACCTTTTAGTTATACCTGTTTTTGAACATTAGATGGTTGTGTTTACAGACTTCAGACAATTTCTCTTTAGGAACAACAGAAAACCTTAGGCACAGCAGGAGTGGATCTGACCGACAATCAGATATTATTCAGTACCAGAGTGAGGAAAGATCATTGGCTTTGCAGCTTTGTGGATGGATAAAGAAGGGCACAGATCTGGATGTAGAGCCCTTCCTGCACTCCTTGGAACAAGAAGGGGACTGGGAGCGAGCTGCTGCTGTGGCCCTGTTCAATTTGGACATCCGGCGTGCAATGCAGATATTGAACAAAGGCGCTTCTTCCGGAAAAGGTGCTTGTTTTGATTTGATATCATTTTTGTAGAGTGGGGTTCTTGCATTTTTTTAATTTCTCTTTGTTCACTTCTTAGTTGGATTTTTATATTTGTTTGGACTCTAGAAAGGGTTGGATCCAAAGCTGCCCTTCCACATGCAGGCAGTTCGATCTTTTCATGGAATGCATATTTTGTACTTAGCATGGAAATACTGAATGATAAAAGTTGTACCAGTTGCACCCACACTTGCTTGCAAAAACAGGAAAAGTGTATTTTACTCATGTTTTATGCCACTATGCAGTTATTTTGACTTGTTCAAGCATTTGCAGAATGGGGGTATTCATATTCATGCCTGTTTTCCAGTTGCTGGGTGGAGAGATTGAGGCTGGTGGGGAAATTCAGCCAGCTGGGGTTTCCATCTAGCCTACAAGTTTCTTTTACAAATAACAGTTAAGAAGCTACTTAAAATCTAGAAAACTTCTGCATTACTGTGAAAAAGAAAGATTGGTGAGCATATGTTTTGTGCTTATGGTTCTTTGGATCCAGTCAAATGTACTGGGGAGAGGAGGACTTTTCTAGATTCAGCAATATATAGTCAGCAAAGAACAGAGGGTTAGGCATTGCAGTCTTATTGAACAAGTGTAATATCATGGCTGAAGGGCTGGTGTTAATAATGGGACCACAACCATTTATTTAATACTTTTATAGCCATTTATAAATACATTTATTTATTACTTTAGTCTTCCAATTAGCCATTCTGAGCAGCGGATCAAAAGGAATATTTACGCATGAGCAAAGCAGAGTCATTAAATAAAATATATTTGTTTATGTATTTACTTGCTTGTTTGCTTGCTTACGTTTATATACTGTTCACACCAATAAAAGAACTCAACCAAAAGCAAACATATAATTCTAACAAAAGGAAAAACCTTGGTGGTTAAAGATAAGCAGAGACAAAGTTTAAACATAATGGGTCAACAGCTCTATCACAGGGAAGATACTCTTAAAGGCTTCTTTGAATAGCTCAGTTTTAGCAAGCTTTCTAAAGGTTAGGAGGAAGGGAGCCTGGCATGTATCCACTGGCAAAGCTATTCCAAAGTGTCACAACCACTGCTAAGAAGGCTCGGTTCCTAGTTGTTGTTTTCCGGGCCTCCCTCTGGCCTCCTGAAGCAATGGAGTCTGGGTGGAACAGGTGATGTCGATAGCAGATCTTCAGGAGAGATCTTCTCTCCATCAGGTATCAAGATCCCAAACCAAATGAAGGCCAGTTTTTAGCAGACTGCTTATTTTGGCAGGATAATTCCTAATTAGAGATGGGGATATTTGTATTCGGAAACTAATATGAATATCCCCAACCCAGGTGCGCCTAGGCCCTCAGGACCGGCCTGTTAACTCATGCTTTGCTGTGCTGGCAGATTCCCACCAATTGCAGCAGTAGCTCCACCGTCTCCCTGTTCTTCTGGCCATTCAGCAGTTGTGTGGGTCTACTTGCTCTCCTGCCACCTGCCTGGAGTGGCCAGCTGAGCAGGGAGACGGCAAAGCTACTTCTGTGATTGGTGGGAAGAGCAGGAGGCTGGTGGGGCAGCAAAGTGTGAGTGATAGACCAGTCCCGAGGGCTAGACCCGTATTAGGGGCACCTGGGACAGGAATTTTCATATTCATTTACAAATATGAATATCCCCATCTCTATTCCTAATTAACAAGAAATTGTACTGGTGCTGTTTCTTGTGCCTTTTATAGAGCAAGGTTTGTTTCAGGACCAGTGGTGCATGTTTTTCTAAAATAGGCCTTCATCTCTACATCTCTTGAAATGAAGGACTTTCAGCTGTAGGGGACACTCTGGAACTGGATTGAAAAGTTTTGGTCTCTGCTTTTGCAATGCAGGTGATCTGAATCTTAATGTCGTGGCTATGGCATTATCCGGCTATACAGATGAAAAGAACTCTTTGTGGAGAGAAATGTGCAGCACACTAAGGTTACAGTTAAACAACCCTTACCTGTGTGCTATGTTTGCTTTTCTGACGAGCGAATCAGGTTCTTATGATGGAGTTTTGGTAAGCTATTCTTCCTTACTCATTATCCCCTTTTAAAGCACGTAGAAGAGCACTCTTAAAGTGCATAGATGACTGTGGAGACTTGATGTTAGTCTATGTTTTAGAAAACACAGTGCAAAGCATTGACAAAGATAATATGATTGAAACAGCTTTCAAAAAGCAAGCATTGTGATGAAATTATTGTAATGGTTTACAAATGGTGTTCACAATCTGAAGAGCTTGCTTAGAAATATTTATTTAAAATGAATAAATACTACAAAACAATAAATAAAATAGGGCACAAATATCCACAGTATGACTAAACAAAGCCTCAATGTACCAGTGTCTGCAAGTGCTTGGCCAAACAGGTACAGTGGTACCTCACTAGACGATGACCTCGCAAAACGACAAATCTGCATGACAATGAGGTTTTGCAATCGCTATAGCGATTCACGTAACAGTGATTCCAATGGGTGATTTTCACTGGACGATGATTTGGTCTGTGTTTCACGGACCATTTTTTCGCAAGACGATGATTTTTACAGCTGATCGGTGGCTTCGGAGAATGGCTTCCCTATGTTTTCGGGACCCATGCTTTGCAGGACAGCCATTTTAACAGTTGATCAGCACTTCACAAAATGGCTGCCCTATGGGCGATCTTCGCAAAACGACAACAATTTTTCCCCATTGGAATGCATTAAACGGGTTTCAATGCATTCCACTGGGGAAACGGTTTTCGCAAGACGATTATTTCACTAAACAGCGATTTCATTGGGACGGATTATCGTTGTTATGCGGGGCACCACTGTATCTACTTAACAGAGGATGGGAGACCTTCATGGTTGGTGACTGTTGCATGAGGTTAAAGGTTCCCAGTATTTCTTCAGAAGAAATACTGTTCTCCTCTCCTGAACCTTCCCCAAATTTGTGAGGAGGAGCTTGGAAACCCAACTAGGTTGGTAGGACACCATATACAAAGGGCAAGCAACTTGGAAAAGAGCGCGGTTTTAGCAAAGTGATTTAGATGGACTTGAATAATGTGTCATGTTTTTCCAAGTTGCAAGATTAACCTAATTTTTAATGAGAGATGGGCATGAACCGCCAGTTCGTCAGCTCATGCCAGTTTATTTGGTTGAGCTGATGTTTGGCACTTTCCAGCTCCACTGCCTCTAGCAGGTGCCCACTCTGGGACAGTGCCTTGGCTTCCCTGCCGTGCCTCCTTTGGGTGCTGGGAACTACTGAACACCCGTTCAGCTGGAAAACAAACTGGCATGAACTGCTGAATCAGTGGTTCGTGCCCATCTCCATGACAATGTGAATACAGAACTTTCATAATTCTTATATACATTTTTCTCAGTGTAATATTAACATGCTTGTATTGTTTCAGTATGAAAGTAACGTAGCTGTACGAGACAGAGTGGCATTTGCTTGTAAATTCCTGACTGATGCCCAGGTGAGGTGATCAGATTTGCTGCTATTTTCCTCTTATGTCCAAATTCCTTTTTGGGAAGACAGTGTATTGAATAATGGAAATTATAGCACAGTCTTCTAGGTTTGTTACTGTCTTGGTAGGAAAGAAAAGGAGAGTGCTGTTGTAATAAGGAATTTGATGTCCATCTCCACAATTGGGGCAAGAGCTCATTATACAATTTAGATTACTTCTGTATTGTCTTGTAAAGAGGCACTTTCCTGTGGGCAGTATGAATTTCTAATATAAAGATGGGAGTATTAATTGGAACAATGGCCCTTTGTTTCTTTTTGATCAGAGTTGTTGCTATGTGGCCATCCTGGTGGTATTGGAACTCAGTTTTCATCATCCCTCATTGTTGGGTGTGCAGATCAGAGTAGATAAAAGTTATGGTGTAACGGGATCTAGAGGGCTACATTTTGTCCATCCCATAAGTGCACGATAAGTGCATCTCAAATGAGACATCATGTGTGGGCTAGCAATGTTTGTGAATTTCCTGGATTTATCAAATGTCGTGTGTAGTTAAGTTATGTTGCCCTGTTGCAAATATTTCACAATAGAGTACAAATTGAAGATGGGATTTTTAAAATTTATAATATTACTGGACACATTTTCTTGAATGCAGTAGGACCCCCTTATCCACAGGATCAGTAACTGCTGGATCAGTATCCACCGATTCTATTATCCACAGTCTGAAAACATTAAAAAATATTAAAAGAAAAATTTTTTAGATTTTTTGGTCAATCCATTTCTGAGATATTGCATTTTCAAAATTGCAAAAAAAATGCCAAAATTTACTAGCCACCATACTTCAAATCATTTAATAGATACCTATGATAGCTACAGACTAAGAATGATAGCTTGACTTCATGTTCTGCAGCATCTCTCCTCTTCCAGGTACAGTATTCTTCATTTGTAATATGACACCATCACAAACTCCTTTGCCATGTGCAATGGCATAAAAATGCCACTCTGCTTCAATGCCTTGGTTACACAAATTTGCACAGAGATTTTTAAAAGTACAATTTGATGAAACAGTTCCTGTTACAGGGACTCAGAAGTGTCATGCCTCCCCCCCCCCAGTATCAACTTAAAAATTAGAAACAAAAGCATTTTCAGCTTCTCATGTTTCTGTTTTACATTGTATTAAAGTCACTCCCAAACTTCTAGATGTAGATTTTGATCATTTGAATGGTTTTGTGACATGTGCCTATGACAGCTCATGGTGGATGGGATGTGTTCTTTCAATGGATGCTGCAGAACATGAAGTCAAGCTATCATTCTTACATCCAGCTGGACCAGCAACAGCCTTCTCTTATCCTAGGAAACTAGATTGTCCAGCTACAAGACATGTATCTTTAAGTGTGAATTTTTTGTAAACTTTAAAAAATTCCATTTCCCCAAAAATTCAAATTTAATTTTTTTTAAATGTGTAATTTTTTTTGAAAATGTACAATTGTATCATGTTGTATATCATATGAAAGCCCTATTCCTTAGCTTTAAAATGACACTTGTCCCAGGTCTGTAGCTATCATAGGTATCTATTAAATGATTTGAAGTTAAGGTGGCTAGTGAATTTTGTCTTTTTGTTTTTTGTGTTGTTGTTTTTTTTGCAATTTTGAAAATGCAATATCTCAGAAACGGGTTGACCAAAAAATCTGAAAAAAATCTCATGGTAAGGTACAAATGTACAAAAAATGAAACAAATTCATGATGTCAAGTTCCAAAATGGATTATTCATTGGTTCATTTTACATGGAATGGCTGGCATGTGAATTTTTTTTCTTCCCCCATCAAGTTCCAAAATGGATTTTTCATTGGTTCATTTGACATGGAATGGCTGGCATGTGAAAAAATTTTCCTCCCCCCCACCCCTTTTACCATCATATAGATATAGTGTCTACTGTTATCCATGGTTTTCAGTATCCATGGGGGGCTTGGAATCAATCCCCAGCGGACATAGGGGTCCTAGTGTATAAAAATCAAAATCTTGATGCTCCAGTGGACCTTACCTAGCCATCCTACACTTAGGGTTTTGGGACAGGTAATTTTAGGATAAGAGCCCAAGCTAATAGTGGATCATATTTCTTTTCTTTTCTTAATAGCTGAATAGATACATTGAAAAACTAACCAATGAAATGAAAGAAGCCGGAAACCTTGAAGGAATCCTCCTGACAGGTCTCACAAAAGATGGGGTGGACTTAATGGAAAGTTATGTTGATAGAACAGGAGATGTTCAAACAGCAAGCTATTGTATGTTGCAGGTTCGTATTCCTCCCAGCAAACTTTTATTAAAATGCTGTACCACTTTTACTAATTCTTTTTAACAAAAATCGCTTACTATTTGACTATTTTATTTTGTATTCCATGAAGCAGTGTGGTAGAAAAACATTTTTAAAGGTGCCTAGGAAAGTCAATACAATTATTTCTTTGCCTAGGAAAGTCACAAATGGTCTATAAAATAACAGAGAATCAGAGTACTTCTTTTTGAAAACTGATCTATTTCCCATTTTATTCTTATTCTTAGCAAAAAAAAAAAAAGGCAGTACTTTTCTTACATTTTCTTTTTACAATATTTTCTTTGAACAAGTAATTCTGCCCAGTCTTGTATATTTTCTTAGTTAATATTTGTTTCCTTTCTAGGGTTCTCCTTCTGATGTACTTAAAGATGAGCGAGTTCAGTGTTGGATAGAAAACTATCGTAATCTGCTAGATGCATGGAGGTTTTGGCATAAGCGAGCAGAATTTGACATCCACCGGAGTAAGCTAGATCCCAGTTCAAAGCCTTTAGCACAAGTAAGAATGCTAAATTTTCTCAAGATGCATGTTGAAGAATTATAGCTAAATCCATGTAAAATTGGATATGCTAATCTAGAGGTCGAGGACTCTTCACTCCAAATGTCATAATGAAAATCTATAACTTCTGTTATAAATATTACATCACTGACAATGGACTTTGTTTTATTTGTGTTTTCAATCCAATTCATACTTTACAATGCTGATTTTTAGCCAAAGTAGAGTAACTGCCTAGCTGTAGCAAACATTTTGTAGCAAAAGACAAAAATCCAGTTTTTGTAAGGCATTAAGCTGTACCATTGCTAACACAAGTGTCAAGCCGTTTGTTCAAATATAAAGTCTACCAAAAAGTTTCATAAAAACCTCTTGTCCGTGCCCTGATCTTCTCTTCCTCTAATTTCTGCATTCTTCTTGCTGATCTTCCATTTCCTCACTGTCCAGTCACCTCCACTGGTTACTCTACTGCCAAAATTATTCATTATCTCATCTTTCTAAAGACATTACTTCACTCCTTAAATCGCTTGACTGGCTTCATATCTGCCTCCAGGTCCTGTGCAGTGGGATGGACAAAGTGCAGCTTTCTGCAGTTCCCATTGTCACTTGCCAGCATAGCTTGTGATGAGGTGTGATGAGTTGTAATCCTATAACATATGGAAAACAGAACTTTTCCAATCCCCCACTAAGCAAGCATCTAATGTGTACTTTCACAGTCTGCTATAAGTTTGTTTCACCTTGCCATTCTGCACTTATCCCAACCTATCCCTTTCTCCAACATCTTTTAATCCATCTTCACTGCTTTTAGCCCTCTGAGATCTTCTAGTTCCTGAAAGGATCAGCTAGTCTACTAGCCTACTAATTTATTCATTATTGGAAGCATTTTTATTTTAATCATCAACCAAAAAAGGAATCTAGAGCAAAGTAAAAAAGATATGTTGAGCCTAAAATGATATGACTCAAGGAAAAGGGGATGGAGAGAGTAAATAGCCCTGTCACCTGACTTGGGGGAATAGCAGTTTTCCCGATCTGGCTCTAAAGGCCATTAGAGTGGCCACTAATAGTGACACTTTAAGGAAGAGTACTCTGGAAATAGACTTTTATGGATCTTGTGCTATAATTGGGATTAAAAATATATCTGTTATAACTGTTATTATTTTTAGGGCTTGTATTTAATATTGTAATTTTATTACAATAACTTGAAGTTGTGTGAAGCTTTCTAAATGAATTATAGGTGCATTTTTGCATAAAAACAAAGTGTGCTGCTTATATACCGCCCTGTAGCACTTAAGCACTGAGCTGTTTACAATTTAATTATGCAGGCTACATATCCCCCCCCCCCCCGAGAGCTAGGTAATCAGTTTGCCTAAGGAAGAATGGAAGGTTGAGTCACCCTCATGCACACTCTCTGAGCCTGTTTGGATCAAACTCCAGTTGTAAGCAGAAGTACTGTGATTTAACCACTGCTCCATGAGGCTCTTTACAGAATTGGAAGAAATTTATATATATTGTCATTGTGTTAGTTAAGAATACAAAGGAAACATATATAAAGTAGATCTTTCTCTCTGCAGGTGTTTGTCAGTTGCAACTTTTGTGGAAAATCAATCTCCTACAGCTGCTCGACCATTCCACATCAGGGCCGTGGTTTCAGCCAGTATGGTGTAAGTGGATCCCCAACCAAGTCAAAAGTCACAAGTTGTCCTGGGTGCCGCAAGCCTCTTCCTCGCTGTGCCCTTTGTCTCATCAATATGGGAACTCCAGTTTCCAGCTGCCCAGGTATGCCTTCCAGTTTGTTGCATATGTGCTTTTCATTCCATCTTAGTTGAATGGCATTCTCTTGAGACTCAGCTAGTGAACACCATGCTTAATCTGCAGTTTATCAGTGTCCATCCCATGTTTATTGATGGAATATAACTTCTTTTGATTCTTTCTTTTAAAGTATGCCTCCTCCCAACCACATATTCCCTTACACCCATTTGCTTTTTGTTCATATCTTTTGCATACCACTGAACAGGTTTGTTTATTCTAAGTCTCATGAATCTGGCACAAAGAGAACAGGTACCTGTGGTTTAAATTTGAACACCTGACTGAGAAATATAATTCTTGTTAGTATCCATTAACATTTAGAGTATAAAGGGAAAATATGTAGATCATGGCTGAAATCCAAAGGGCTGTTTGTAAGTGTATCTTAGGGTATAGGTGTATCCAGGAAATCTTTGGTGGTTTTGTTTTGTTTCTTTTTTGAAAAATAATTAGCTGCTTTTAATTCAGTGTTTGAAAAGCAGTTTACTTTGAGGCAAGCCCAAATATGACTTGAATACATAAAAACTAGCTCATATTTCTGACTCGCTAGCCCAAATATTAGTGAATTCAGGGGCATCATATGTGCACACCGTAATAGATAGCTGTGGTGGTTTCACACTGATAACATATGTTTTATACTTTCCTTTTGCTACTGAATACTTCCTCTGTAGCAGAGGTGAGCCACTGTGTGCCACTAGATGTGGCTTGTCTGAAGTGGCCATAATCTTTCACCATTGGCTAAGGTTAATGGAATTGCAGTCTAACATCTGGGGTGGCTCTGTGTGTGTGTGTGTGTGTGAGAGAGAGAGAGAGAGAGAGAGAGAGAGAGAGAGAGAGAGAGAGAGAGAGAGAGAGAGAGAGAGAGAGAGAGAGAGAGAGAGAGAGAGAGAGAGAGAGAGAGAGAGAGAGACTACACATAGAGAAGCTGTTATCTTAAGAAAATTATTGTTTTTAGCTGGGGAAATTATGTGTCTGAGATGCTGACTTCTAGCTTGTTTTTCAAATGCTCAACCAATTCAGTATTAGAACTTTGCTTTCCCGGCCAGCACAGTACCTTCTAATTTTAATCCTGTGTTTTTATTACTGTGAAAATAGAATGCACTAAATACATTTTCTTATGAACAGGAGGATCTAAGTCAGATGAAAAGGTGGACCTCAGCAAGGACAAGAAATTAGCTCAGTTTAACAACAGGTTTACATGGTGCCACAACTGCAGACATGGTGGTCATGCTGGACACATGCTTAGTTGGTTCAGGTGAGGAAACAAACATAAATGTATTGTCATGCATTCTTGCTAGCAATATCCCTTCTCTTAATTTGGACTATGGACTCTGTGAATTTGTAGATCAGTATTTAGCACCAAATACAAACTCTGTAGAAGGCTAGAATAGCATTGAGAACGGAGAACCCAGGCATGGTCAGATTAATAGCAAATTAAAGATTTTCTGATAGTCTTAGATTTCTTTGAATCTCACAAGGTCTGCATTATTAATGGAAGAGTGGATTCCCTATAAACTGATGCAATTACACAGCCAACTGGTGTACTCTGTAGCTACAGGTTAGGGAAGTGGTGGTGTCATAGATGGCAAGAGGTGAAAGAGAAAATGCTGTGTGATTGGCCTTGATTTGCACAGGATTTTATTTAAAATATTTTACCCCACCTTTCTCTTTAAAAGGTTTACTTCATTAAAATACCATTTTTAAAGTTAAAAGCAGTTAGTATATAATAACTAAAAAGGATCAAATAAATACCACAGATTTTTTTTAAAAAAAAAGGTAAACAAAAGCAACACCAAAATCATATTCAAAGCAGCAAGGCACAACAATCCATTTAAGAACCCCAATCAGGCAGCCAATCACTAAGGGGAAGCCTGCCTGAAGAGAAAGGTCTTCACTGCTTGCAGAAGGACAGCAAAGATGGGATCAGCCTGGCTTCTTGTGGGAGGAAGTTCCAAAGTCTGGCAGCAACGACACAGAACACCCTCTGCCATGTCCTCCCCAAACAAACCTCTGAAGATGGTAGGACCGAGAGAAAGACCTCTCCTGATGATCTTAACACCCAGGCAGGTCATAACGGGAGATGCTGCCATGTCCTCCCCAAACAAACCTCTGAAGATGGTAGGACCGAGAGAAAGACCTCTCCTGATGATCTTAACACCCAGGGAGGTCATAATGGGAGACTCAGGCCTTGAGATAGTTTGGGCTCAAGCTGTTTAGGGCTTCTTCAGTTAGAACCAGCACTTTGGATTGTGCCCAGAACTGAAGCACTTTATAGGTTAGAACCAGCACTTTGAATTGTACCTGGATCAGCAGCCGGTGGAGCTGTTGTAACAGGGGTTATGTGATCTTTGGGACGTGTCCCAGTTAGCAGTATGGCTGCTGGGTTTTGGATCTGCTGAAGTTTCCTGACACTTTCTGTCCACAGTCCCAAATAGAGTGTGTTACAGTCATCCAGCTGGGATGTACTGTATTTGCCGGCGTATAAGATGACTTTTTTGCCCTGAAAAACATGCCTCCAAGTGGGGGAGTTGTCTTATACGCGGGGTGCACCCAGAGCGGGCAGCACGTAGTGCAAGGAGGAAAGGGGAGAGGTGAATGAGGAGGAGGAAGAAGAGGAGGCGGAGGTGGCGCTTCTTCTCCTGAGGAGGCAGCTAGCGGGCAGCACGTAGCGCAAGGAGGAAAGGGGAGAGGTGAACGAGGAGGAGGAAGAAGAGGAGGAGGCAGAGGTGGCACTTCTCCCGAGGAGGCAGCGGGCGGCTCTGGCTCTCAGGCACCGCATGGCCCAGCAGGAAGCAGCATGGAGAAGCAAGCCCAGCCCGGAAAGCGGGCATGGCCCAGCAGGAAGCAGCATGGAGAAGTAAGCCCAGCCTGGAAAGCGGGTGGAGCTCAGTCTCCACCGGCTCAGTCACTTCCTCGCATAGTTGCCCTCGTGGAAAGCAGCAGCAGCGCCACCTCCTTCTTCCCCGTGACCTACCATCATGTTGCCCGGGTGGAGAGAAGCTGACCACAAAGCCACCTCCTTCTTCCCCGTGACCTACCATCTTCTTGCCCGGGCGGAGAGAAGCTGGCACACAAAGGGCACCTGCGACAAGTCAGTGCCACCCCGCTTGTCGCCAGCGCCGCCGCCACACCGGGCTCCCGAGGAGACCAGGCGAGCAAGCAGGCGCTGGCCTCTGCCTTGGGCCAGCTGATAGCCTGCCCCAGAAACTTGCTTTCCTTCTCCTCCCTCTTTGGCCCCTCCGGCGGGGTAAAAGGCAGAGGGAGGGGGTAGTCTTATACGGCGAATATATAACGAATGCTAGATTTTGAGTGGAAATGTTGGGGTCGTCTTATATGCCCAGTCGTCTTATACGCCGGCAAATACGGTAACTAAAGCGTGCGTCACAGTGGCCAGACCAATTTGGCCATTAATGGTTTGGTTTTGTGTGCGTTCTGCAGCAAAATGTGACCAAGAGACTAAAATGTCCTGTCCTAATGCCTGGGGTTAAAGTATTTGACATGTGTTGTCCTACTTTAGTTCACATTTCCTCAGGGCAGGGACTGCTCGGATAAAACTGCTCATTATTATTGCAATGCTTGCCAGTTGACCTGATGAGGAAGCTTTGAGGCATATGGCTTGCACAATATTTATCTCAAAGCAGCTACATCACTTTTAAAATCTCCCTCTTCTAACTAGAAGCTCTTAACACATCAGTTGTAGCCTAGGGCTGTAAATGCACTTATAGAAAGTATGGCCTGTGGAGAAGGGACATAATGTTCTTCTGTAGTCAATGGACATTTCCATGTAATGTATGTCAGATCAAAGGGGGAAGTACAAGAATATTCTGATGCCTGTTGCATGGTAGAGCATGTACTTACAATATTCCTAGGCTGATCTTTATGTTTCCTACTATTAATCTCTGGCACCAAAACAATTCTAGTTGTGTCGTGTGAATATCGTGCTGTCTTTTTAAATTAGGAATTGGAGGGGGAGGTTATTTTGGAGTGCTCCTAAAATGCAGCTTCTGATATATTAACTTGGAAATAGATCTATGACTGAGTACAGACCTCTGGGAAAGAGCAAACGGTTGTAAAATATATTCATAGGCAAGAGTAGATCTGGAACAAAGGAAATGATACCTTTAAAACTTACGATTTGAATGTTTCTAAGCTTTTCTCCTTTTAGTAATAATTCATATCTTGATCTGCAGATCCTTTTTGCAAATACCAAGTTGTGAAAAACAAACATTTTATTTATTTTTTCCTCTAATATGCTGCTGGCTATATACAATGTTTGGAAAAAATCATTTCAGTTCACACAAATTTATAATGCTATTTTTCTTATTCAGGGATCATACTGAATGCCCTGTTTCTGCATGTTCATGTAAATGTATGCAGCTGGATCCCACAGGGAATCTCATCCCAGCAGAGATGATCCAGCCGTGAAACATCAGAGCTTGAATCGAGAGCATCAGAACTGGACTCTGTCTCCAATAGGTATCCTTTACAACCCAAACACAGCAGATGTCACTCGTGACTTGCATGGAACAGAAAAATAAATCATTCCATCACATCAGCAAGTTGTGTGGAAAGTTTTGAAGAGCTTTGCATAGCTGTGTGCTCCTGGACTGAATCTTCAAATGTGTCATGTGGACTCTGTTCACTCAATTGTGAAGCAGTTGGTTTCAAAGACATTTACAGAGGCTTCACTGAAAAGCACCCATCTGGAAGATTTTCATCCTTAATTCTGTCCAGACCTTGAGGCTTCCATTGGAAATGAACTGGTATCATACACTGTGTTTCATGGACTTTCAGAGAACACTGTTGAAAATTGCCATGTGAAAGGGTCATGCCATCAAATGATTGTACATAAATAAATGTTCGTATCAACATTTTCTCCAGATTAAGTATGCAAACATAGTAATATTCCCGTCTGCAGTTTGCTCACATTGCATGGCAATGTGACACTCCTGACAATCTGTGGTTAATATGTCGTTTTATTTCTAAGAGTAAATAATAAGGTTCCATCCAAATAGTGGCATGCTTTGTGCAGCATCCAAAACTACAGAATTTTAAAGTACCAAATGAATTGATTAGTGGATTGTGCAGAACAGATCAGTATATGTATCAACTACTTTTAAAACCAGGGTTTACCTATAATCCTAAAACACATTACACTGTGAATTGTACATCCAAATTTTTCTTAGGTGACATTTGTTGCCGTCATAATTTCAGAGCTTAATACAGTACATGATGAACAGCAGCCAGAGATGGTATACTTAAAGCTTACTTGCAATATTAGTGTGGCACTACATATCATCTGCCATTGCTGTCATAGTGGCTGCTTTTACCAAATCTTTGTACGCAACAAAATATCTGGGTTAACATAAAATGCCAGCAGGATGTTTCATGCAGAGGTAGATGTCTTGAAACATCCTGCTGGCATTTTCTGGTAAAATCATGGAAAGTTGACACATTCAGAAGAGAACATACAAATTAGCAATACACTGGTTGTTTTGGTAACTGTGGTGTATGCGGGTGGTTTTACAGATTTCTACTCTTGCATCAAGGCAAGTGCATGACATTCAACTTTTTGATAATTGGCTAGAAACTTGAACTTTCTTTGCACCTTTTCAATGCATTGTAGGAATTGTGTGAGATGTAATATAGTTGCCTAGTTGACAATCTTTTTTTTTAAAATCTAAGGGCTTGGATCCAAGGAACCATGTGCAATATTGTGTAGACGCACTTGGGTTTTCCTGCCTTTTTTCCCCACGGTACTTTGTGCTGCTTGAAAAGCTATAAGGATTGAGAAGCCCTTTGGTGTAGTGGGTAAAGAAACAGAAACTGGTCACTGATAGACATACAGGGGGGAGCTATCTCCACTTGTATATAGGCAACTTTGGGTCCAAGCTACAATTTATATGCTGAAATAATTTTAGGAGGAAAATAAATCTTTAATAATAAACAGAAATATTCGCTTTAATGTACAATGTTACAGTAATCTCTATTGTATTGCCTCAGTGAAAGGCTACAATTTCTGGTTAGAACTGCATTTTTACTGTTGAAGTCTATTGAAATGCCTATCACAGTATCCAAATGGTTACTGTATTTTTGTAACGTTGATGAAAGGTTACCCTTTGTTATAAGGTTTTTAGAATATCTACATTTAATTTTAAGCCTTTAAGAGCAATGTATAGACATTATTTTTGTGTCATATTCGATGTATTAAAGGATCATGGAAATTATCTTTGTCTTCCTTTCTGTAAAAGGGGAGATAGGTAAGTATGAAGAGTTCATGGATGTCCAAAGCGTATTTGTAAAATAAAAGAACCTTTTTTCTTACTTGAAAGGTATTTCACACCAATCTATGGAAGGTGCACTTGTCTTTTGAAATGGAACTGTCCTACAATTTAGAGTAAAATGTGTGTACAGTATACTGAATTTTTGTGTGAACATTTTAGATCAACTGAAAGGTTGAGTAGTTGCACTGTACATTAATATCCACTTACAAGTCCAAGTATTTAGACAGCTGTGTATTTCTACAGACTGGGAAATTTAACTTTTGTCTTCTGTTTCTACTCAAAATTGTAAAATAAAGATTGTGTTGGACTCGCAAGTTTGATTACATTTAGTGTTTCACATCATCTGTAAGTTGATAGCTGCTTAAATAGTTCAGGAAGGTATTTGTGTTGATAGTGCTGTACTTGCAAATGTAACAGCCCACCAGTACATAAACGTCTAGTGGATCAGGAATAGATAGTGTCACCACTTGAGTATATCTTTTGGTCTTTAATAATCCCAGTACTCAAAGTGTATATTGTGTTAATACTTTGAACTAAAGCAACTTCAAGTTTCCTTTTCTGTCACTAACAAAAATATAGTCCATTTGAGTTGAGATGGGAATCATATACTGAGAAGTCACCTTGCTTCACGCCTAACCATTGCTGTTTTAGTGTAAAAACACAATTTAAATGACTGTATGGATTGATACTTAAGAGAAATATGTAAAATGAGTGTATGACTTTGAGGTATCAGGTAACATTTGTATGCTTTATTCTTACAAACAGAATTGCTTCCTAATTTTAAAAATATGCCTCTTACAAACATCAGTGCAGTGTCTTGTACATAATGTATTTAACATTACATAAAAATGTCTCTTGCAAATATCAAAGCAATCTATTTTACACTCTACACACTGGTTGTCAAATGATGGTGCATGATAACTGAAATGGCATTGGCAGTTAAGCAGCAACAGGGAATCTGTGTCCTTCCAGATGTGGGGCTATCTCTTCCCACTACCACACCATCTATGTTTGCTGACTATTGTCCCAATAAAACCTGGAGAGCCACATATTCCCTATTCTTCCACAAAAGACAGCTTTTTCTTTGCCGTGATTGCAGCACCATCAAGGTCCACTGTACAGAAACAAAATCCAGAAATTTCTAAACTTCATCATAGAAATGCGAGATGCCTCAAGAGTATTTTAAGCTACTTTGTTTCCAAATGAAATCCTTGAATAGTTATCTTCAATAAGTATTGTAGAACTGTCCACTTGGAAGTTGTAATGAAATGTCAGTTCGTAGCAAAAGGATAGTACTCGGGGAACTCATGGATAGTTTTCACAGCTTCATTATACAGTGCAATATCTGGGGAAAAAGAAATGGAAAGGAATTTACAAGTGGAAATGAAAATACAGTACACTAAAGTAGCAATACTACTTTGTATAGTAGGATTCTAAAGAAATTACCCATTCTAATGTTGCATCTAGCTAGAAATATTTCAAGTGGAAACTCATCAGTCAAGTCTGAACAATAATTAAATTACCAAATATAAAAGTAGAGGTCCTTCCCAGGTTTGCAAGTATACCTACAACCATTTTAACTGTAATAGAAAAGAAATCAGAACTGAGGAAGTTTAATACCTGAAACTGACTTTATACATATAGAATTATTTTACATAGCTAAACAAATGGAGTGATGAACTCTTGTGAACAGGCAGGACTGAAAAACATGCAACTGTGAAACCAGTGCTGAAATTGCATCGTCTTCTCTACTATGTTTCTGTATGGTGGCATTACGCTGAAACTGAAAATGTACATGGATTTTAGATTTTAACATAATAGCTGAAATCTAGCAGTAGGCTGAAACTAGAGTGGAGCTAGTGAATTAGTGGAATTAGTGGAATTAGCAAGAGTTGACTCACTAAACCCCTACTAATTCAATGAGATGACTCAATTGCAGGTTACTACTGGATTTCAGCCAATGTTTTTATGCATCTGCTTCTACAAGAATCTGAAAATAGATTTCTAAGAACAACTCAGGAAATAATTAAAAGCTAATAAAAAATATCCAGGTTTTCTTGCTGCTAATAAAATTTGGGGTGGTGGTGATAATTATTTCTGTAGTTTATTAGATTTTAGTAATTTACTTACCAAACGTATCTTTATCTTCCCTGAATTGGGTGTATGATGCACACAAGACATTTACTTGATTTGTAACTCTTCCGACTACTTCAATGACTCCTGAGATCTCTTCCTCAAGCTGCCAAAGCAAATCAATTAGACAATGTCTCAAAATGTTGACAATTTTTACAATAATCTTCAGTACCCAATCCTCCCATCTTATGTATTCCATTGTACATCCAAGCACTACGGTAAGCCTGTAGAATGAATATCTGACATTTTTATTCTTTGTCCTCGTCTTTATTATGTTTAATAACCAAATAGAAAATGTTTTAAGAAGAGTTTAAGACTGTTAAAATCTTAATGTTCATTTTAAGAATACAGTATGTGCAGGCTATATTTAAGACTTTTTAAAAGGCATGGAAGAGATTTCACCTATTCCTTCTTGTTACCCTCACAGATCATCTACAAGATGTCATCTCTTTTTTTTTCAAAACCTGAATTCAAAACCTACATAATTTTTGATCTCCTGTCCTTTTTGTCTCAACTTTGTCAACCCCCTCAATTTAGTAGCAGTCTAACTGGAACAAAAGATAGATCTCTGCCCCACGTGATCTGCAAGATGCTGCACATAATAATAATACTATACCAAATTAATATGGATGCTTAATATGTAAGCAATGCATAAGGGTTAGAGTTGTAAACAGGCAATCTATAATGACATCCACGGAGTAAAAGATTAGTTGAAATCCTTGTTGCTTGGCATAGTAAGCTCAGGCTTGAGTAGGGTCATTGAATCGATGGAACTTAACAGAGGAAATGACTCACCAAATCCCCATTGATTCAGCTGTGACTTACTGTGCTAAGTAACAGTATTTCAGTTGTTGTTTAGTCGTTAAGTCATGTCTGACTCTTCGTGACCCCATGGACCAGAGCACACCAGGCCCTCCTGTCTTCCCCTGCCTCCCAGAGTTTGGTCAAATTCATGCTGGTAGCTTTGATGACACTGTCCAACCATCTCGTCCTCTGTCATCCCCTTCTCCTCTAGCCTTCACACTTTCCCAACAGCAGGGTCTTTTCCAGGAAGTCTTCTCATGAGATGGCCAAAGTATTGGAGCCTCAGCTTTAGGATCTGTCCTTCCAGTGAGCAATCAGGGTTTGTTTTCCTTCAGAATTGATAGGTTTGTTCTCCTTGCAGTCCAGGGGACTCTCAAAAGTCTCCTCCAGCACCACAATTCAAAAGCATCAATTCTTCGGTGATCAGCCTTCTTTATGGTTCATACATCGCTGGAAAAACCATAGCTTTGACTATGCGGACCTTAGTCGGCAAGGTGATGTCTCTGCTTTTTAAGATGCTGTCTACGTTTGTAATCACTTTCTTCCCAAGAAGCAGGCGTCTTTTAATGTTGTGGCTGCTGTCACCATCTGCAGTGATCATGGAGCCCAAGAAAGTAAAATCTGACACTGCCTCCATATCTTCCCCTTCTATTTGCCAGGAGGTGATGGGACCAGTGGCCATGATTGTAGTTGTTGTTTTTTTGTTGTTTTTTTGTTGTTGTTTTTGATGTTGAGCTTCCTTCATGGATTGCTGCCTTGTCGTGGTGAAGGGGCTTGAGTAATTCAGAGAAGCTATGGGCTATGCCGTGCAGGGACACCCAAGACAGATCATAGTGGAGAGTTCTGACTAAACGCGATCCACCTGGAACAGGAACTGGCAAGCCACTCCAGTATCTTTGCCAAGAAAATTTCATGAAAAGAAACAAAAGGCTAAAAGATATAGATTAGCAAACATCAAAATATTGCTTAGTAAGATGCCTCTATTGCAGCTTGCATTGCATGCATTTGTCTTAAGACAACTAGTGAACATTCTTATTAGATCCAAACACAGATTTGTTTAGGCTAGAGATATACACCTCTTTCATAAACTGACAAGCTGCACCATCAACACAAGGTGCAGTCATAAGAATTCAACCTACCAGATGCTTAACACCAAAGAGTTGTTAAGGGCAAATAGCAGCAAGTTGGTAAAAGATATTCATACTTACAGGTGCCATCAACTCAATAGTTGCAGTTTTTCCTTCTCCGTCAGACAGGAAGAAGAATTTCCCAGATGGATGGATCTACAAAAGATATTAAATGTTTTATTTTCGGAGTAGTTTTACCTCTGCACAAAGAAATCTCACACAAACAATAGGGACACTGCAATACACAACAGTATTTTAAAAAGACAAAGCAAAAGTTTACATTGTACTGTATTATGAAATAACTATACTGACTTGCCAGCACCGTACCTTGGTAAGTCTTGCACAATCAAACACGATGAAAAATCAACACAAGATTACTTACAATGTTTGAATTATTCTGTCAGTTAGCAGATACATCTGTAATACTCCAGCAGTGTTCAACTTAAGGCAGAGCAGTTTCGAGTAGAGAATAAGAAGGGAAGAGCCTTAGCAGTCTATTGCATCTACCAACACTATAACGTTAAAGGCCTTTTGACAGAAACTCGGCAAGTATTTAGGAAATACTCTAATTATGCACAGGTATTACTTTTTTTTACTAAAAATTAGCATGGAAATGAGAGCCAATATGACTGTGCCTTGTGATATCCAGGTTCAAAAACCCACTACACTAGGCAGAGTAGATAAAAATCAATTTAAATCATTTTTAATTGTTAAAAAACCTGGTATCTTAATCTCACAGATTTATCTATTAAAGTACTTTTATTCAATAGAGTTATCTATTAAATAGATAATAAATTCACCTATTTAAATCAAATCCACCCTGCTACTTGTCCATGAAACTCAGATGACTTTAAGCCACTCATTCTTAGCCTTAGAGGACTGCTATGAGAATAAAGGTAGGAGGGGGAGAGAGCTTTTATGTCATCAGTGAGCTCCATGGGGATAAGGTGGGAAACTGGAAATACATGCATTCTTCATAATGTAGGTCATCTAGAGATACTTATTCACAGTTCACCTAGTACTGTGGTAGCTATCTGAAGATGTAGAGAAGGGGGGGGAGAGAATTGTAAAAATACTCCAGACCGTAGCAGACCCAACAGAATGCATATAAGAAAGGGATACTGTATACAGTATCATTTTTATCCTTTTCAGTATGTCAGCCCATTTATGGTTTTCACTTCTTTAGCTGGCTGACTCTCTTTTTCTGGATGATATTGCAAAACACAGATATGAGGGTGCTTCCCCACTGTGCCTCCTTGACAGGAGCTGGCCTTGATGATCCACAGGGTCCCTTCTAGATCTGCAGTTCTAAGAGCGTTGTTGTTATTCTTTAGCTAATTAATTAATTTGTGCATTACACTTTTGCAGGGCTTTTGTTCGATTCAAAGGAATATAAAAATGGATCAACATTTCTATATACATATTGCAGGCCTTGGTGAACCTGCTGCACCTAGACGTTGCAGTGCAACGAAGCAAACAAAACAAAAAAGTCCTGCACCACTTAAAACACTAAACATTGTATAACAATATGAAACTTATGCACCCCAGAGGAAGAGTTATCTAGAACTTTAGGGGTCTGTTGTGTGTGTATACAGACATTGATTACAGAATAGTCAGCTGTGGGAGTGCAGGATCCGAGCTGAGAAGGAACTTAAAAGCCAGGCAGCAGTGCTTCAGTTATTCCAGGTTCGGACCTCCCTTAGGGAACGGACTATTAGCAAGACTGAGAAGTAAATGTCCCATCAGCCCAACAATAGGACTAGGAGACATGGATTCACGTGAAAAGGTCTCAACTACTCTACACGTGAAGAGCTCCAACTGCCGAGCAACACCTGTCGTTTCGCAGCCCAGATCCGGCCCTAGCGATGGGGGTGGGGAGCATCCCGTGCCTACCTTTTCCAGACGTCCCACGAAACAAACGGCCTTCCCAATGTACTGCGGCAATTGACTGGCAGCGACACGAACCCGAGGCCCTTCCAACACATCCGCCATCTCGACACAAGAGGCCACAACACACGCCGCCCCCCTCGCGCGCTTGATCTTTCCTCGAACCAAACTGGCGGGAAAAATTCTAGTTCCGCTTTCCTCGAGGAAGGCAAAGCGGTTACCCGGGCAACCAGAGACGCATGACATGAGGACGCAGTTCCGGTCTAATCTTTCAACGCAGGCCCAAAACGTTTGTCACGCGGTTAGTCTTGGCGCGACACGTCATTTCCGAGTGCGTTTTGCCACCCGCCAAGGTAAGAGGGGGGAGTTTGCGCATGCGCAGAAGACAATATTGTGTTTTGCGCCTCTGCTGCGGTAGTTCTCGTTCAGTCCTTCTGGTCGTCTCCCTCGTGAACCCGGAAGCAGAGGTGGTTGTGGAAAACCGGCTGTAGGCGTCGGTTGATTGGGAGAAACCGGGTAAGGTTAATACTAAGAATGGGTTCGAACTGAGGGAGAATGGGAAGTCGAAAATGAGGGCCGACAACACAGGACCTCGTTCGAGCGGGTTGGGAGGCGAAAAATCGTTATTCGAAGGGATGTGGTTGGAGCATCCGCGCATGCGCGGCGGTATTCCTGAGCGGACTCTGTTGCGACTCCCAGCCGTTATTTCCCGAACTTGCTTACCTGAGGCGAAACGCCCCTTCCGTTTTTTCTCCGTGATGGGTTGCAGCTGTGTCGGATTAACCGGCAGCTGTAAGAGAAGGTTTGTTTGGTTTTTCCCGGAAACCAGAACGGCATCAGGGAAGATGAGTTAGTTAATTGTGTGAGTTCTGTTTAGCTGATGGTCGTATTGGCATACAGTATATGAATTTTACAGAAGATGTACTTTTTTTTGCTTCTAAAATCTAGGTCACCAACTTTCTGCTATCTCTGTGGCGGAGGTGGGCTTCCCAGTTCACACTTCTAGTGATGCACACTGTATCTCTATCTTTGTCTCTGTACACAATGATGGTTATACGCCAGCAAACCTTTTGGACCCCAATGCCCAAAATGAAAAGAAAAAAAAACCCACAACCCAGCAGGTGGCAGCGGCAGAAGCAGAAGGGGTAATCCCAGGCATGGAGGTGCCTTGAGATCCGACTCCACATCCGCCAGCTGCCCTGGATCCTGGCCCACCGACTGTAAGGGTGCCAGCAGTGCGGCCACAGCTGCCTTCTCAGGTTTGGCTGCGGGGGGGGGGGTAGTGATCCAGCGACTTATGGCTCACGTGCCCACAAAGAGGGTCAAAGGCCCTCTGCTCTTCATAAATTCAAGGATGTGGTTTCCTGTATGGAGTCATATGTGGCTTTTTCTCTTTTTGCCGCCTAGAGTGGTCCTGACACGACCAGATAGGCGGGATATAAATAAAATAAAAATAAATAAATAAATAAATAAATACTCAAGGTATGACAGCCTCAGTTTTGTCATGTTTACTTTCAGAGAAAGTTCACCATTAAAGCTACCAGGCTGACATTTCCTCTTTTGCTGACAGGTATTCTAGATAGTGATATGTCATGCATGCTTTCATTTTGACAGGGCCTTTTACTTTTGCCTCTGGGCTGCCGTGGAAAGAATACATTTTCTAAAATGACATTCACGTCCACAGTTCCATGATTTTTAAAAAAATATTAATTTCATCTGAGTCTGCAGGCCGTTCGGCTAATAAGTTATATCCTGTTGATTCTGATTTTTGATGACCCAGTGTTGTCTCGTTTGGGTAATGCTCTGGGGCTGTGCATCTGGCTAAAAGCTCACAGGTAGCACTTATTTCAGTCAACCACATTCTCTAGATCAGCAGTCCCCAACCTTTTTAGCACTGCATCTTTTAAAATTATGTGTAACAGTTTCTATCTATTGACCAAACATCTAATTGACTGAATGTTGTATTCCTAAAAAGTATTAACATCAGAATGTAAACAAACAGCAAAAACAGTTCCTGGCATCACCTGTGTGTCCTTTAACATATCTTACTGATAATTTGAGAAGGCCACTTGTGTGAATCATATAAAATTAATTGGAATGCAGTAACATCTAAGATGGTGCAAGGATTGCTGCACTTACTAACTCCTGTAATGGACAGCTAAACCATCAAGTGTTAATCACTTGCACTTACAGTGGATCTGATGTGAGGATGCAGAGCAGCCCTTTAACTAAAAAACTGGAAGATGCATTTTTTGTGGGCATGGATATAGTTGCAGTTACCTTCTGTGTGTCCCCACTTTAGAAATCAAAATGTGTGTATAAAGAAATGGGTTTTTTAAAAAAATCACTAAGCAGCACATAAAACAAGACCATTATCAATCTATGGAGGCTGCAGTTCATGATTTGAAGCACACACTTAAGTGTGACTACAAATGAAAGTAGTTTAAATATTTTGGCAACATGTTTTGGCTTCTGCCTTCTTCAACTGGTCTGGTAAAAGTATGCTGTTTGCCAGGTAACAGTTCTAGAACCTAGAGGACAAGGTATTCTAAAGTAGATGAATGATGTCAATTTTTGTTCTGTAGGTTCAGGCCATTAGATGTTAAGGTAGCCATTCTGCAATTCCAGAAGGGTAGCAAGATTACTCCTCCCAGGAAGTGCTATGTCTGTTTCCTATGTACATTTAAAACAGGGCATAGGCCAGACTTAGGTCACACAGCCTCCAAAACAAGGCCCTGGTTTGAGAGAGTGAAATGTCAGTCTGAGTCTGTGGCCTGCAGTATTCTGCCTGGAGAATTCTGGGATTCAATTACGTACTAATTTACTTATTATGCTGCCTTTTTCCCCATAGGGGACCCAAGGCAGCTCAGAATGATTAAAATCATACAATAATAACAAGTTAAAAATACAATGCAAAGCTACATATTAAAAAACAAACCTTGTTCAAGATTAAAAACAAATTTGAAAACATTTTAAAAAGCATTTTAAAGCATCAAATTTTCAAAAAGAGAGCATTCCCTAGACACTTTATGCTTAAAAGCCTGCATGAAATGGAAGGTCTTTGCCTGATGATGGAATGACAACAGGGAGGGACCAGCCTGGCTTCTTGGGGCGGTGCGTTCCAAAGTCTGTGAGCAGCTACTGAGAAGGCCTTCTCTTATGTTCCTACCAGATGAGCTTGGGAAGGTGGTGGAATCAAGATAAGGGCCTTCAAAAAAGTTGGGAGTCCAAAAGATTTTGAATGGTACCTCCCTAGTAAAGCTTCACTGATTTTTTTTTTAAATAGATGAAGCCACTGTCTGGATAAATGTTGGCTACTGGGTGGTCTTAGCATAGGCATCCTTCAGTCTCGAGAGACTATGGTAACATGCTCTGAATCGAGGAGTGTCCTCTCCAGAGCATGAAGCCCGGGTAAGGTAATTTGGAGGATAGGCTGTTACCCAAGCAGCAGATCCCCCCTCTCCACATTGCTGAAGTGGTCCAATGGAAAGGCAAGAGCCAATACAACTGGTTTCAGCAATATCGCAGGAGTCGGCAGAACGACACATGCTGTCTTCGGGACTCCAGCTCCAGATTTTGCCACGAGGTTAACTCCTGAAGCCTTTTCCATGAGTGGATATAGCCACAAGGCAGTGGAGGTTTGAAATCAGAGTTTTCCGTCTCCTAGATGGGCTGCCTTCCATGGCTGACGAGCCCCACCTACCCGTGGGTGGTCTTATAAAACTGCTTTATCATACTAGTTTTTCGGTTCATATGTATGAGATGTCATTGAAATTGTGCTCTTCATCAGATAAAACTAAAAGTAAACCGTTTAAATTAATTTTTATATATAAAGGTTTCAGCATTGATTGGAAAAATACTTTGCATAAACTGGTAGCCAGTTGACTAAAATATTTTATTTATGAAGAAAGTGATACTGACCATAAGCATAGTGGTGTACAATTGCAGCAGCAACTAGCTTCTATTTGATAAGTCAATGTTTGTTTTCCTTGGTGTGCACTAGTCATGTGACTTTGCATGTGACGAGGAGTATAAATGACTCATTAAATAGCAGCAGTTGCAACTATACTTTATTCCGCTGCACTTAAACAGTATAAGTAAGTGGTAAGATTCTGGTCATTATCTTTTGTAACATTTCTCAGTATTTCAGTTTCCTTTTTCAGATGCTGACCCTTGAGACTCAATGAACTCTGCTTGGGTATACTAGCACTTTTTCTTCACATAAATGTAATTAACAATTTGACTGTATCTTGTGTTCATTGTTTTCCCCTACCCTCCCTGTTCAAATTTAGAGCTTTCACAAGATTATTTTTGTAACAACTGTTTTCCTTGTTTTTATTCCTAGATTTATACATTGAAAGAATGTTAAGCTTCTTCCGAAAAAGTCAGGATCCAAGGAAAGTGCAAGTAACAGAAAAAGAAGCAGATGGGTTTGTTTTTCTTGGTGAGTAGCTTTAAGATCATATAACAGTAATATTTTTAAAAACGTTATTTTCAACACATTTCCCAAGGTGCCACATGGAAGGACGGAAGAAAATTTAATGGAAAGGTGCTTCAGTTTTGAGGCAATATTAGGTTTCCTAGATTTCCAGTGTCATGTAGTGCAGCGGTCCCCAACCTTTTTGGAACTGCAGACCAGTTGGGGGGTGGGCTCCGTGAGCACAACATGACCCTGCGAGCGCAACACGCCCACTGTGTGTGAGGGGTGGAGATCCATCTCCGCAGTCCAGTCCTGGGAAGCTCACGGACTGGCACTGGGCCATGGACTGGGGGTTGGGGACCCCTGATGTAGTAGACAGAGTGATGAACTAGGACTCTGGAAAAAAGGGCTTGAATCTACACTGCCATGGAAACTGACTGTGGGAATGGAACAGGTAAAATCACTCCTTAAATATCTCATTTATCTTGAAAGCCCTATTAGGGTCACTGTAAGTTCATTCTAACTTGACAGCGCAAAACATATACATGCAGTTATATAAAGTATCTCCAATGAAGTTTTCTATTTAGGATAAATACAGTGACACAAGATTAGGACGTTGTGTCATACTAGGTCAATATATTTGTCCGTTTATCCCAGGATTGTTTGTTCCTATTTGCAAAGGTCTTTCCCATCACTTGCTAGCTGTTCTTTATAATAGTGAATGCTTGGGATTGAATCTGAGACTTTGCATGAGCAAGTCATGTGCTAAGAATGAGCTCATTCTTGTTCTGTTCCTATTTGAATAGGGGATTATTGCAGTGAAATACTTACACCTTTTAGAGGAATTACTAGAAAACCTAAAAAAGAATCGGGAACAATTGGAGAAAGATAAGAGACTGGACTATATGTCTTCTAATTCTGAGTGAATAGCATTCTCTTTCTTTCTTTACCCTCTCATTTCCCCATTACAATATCTCCCCGGGGGAATGGCACGTGTGTGAGACTTGGTCAACTAACAAGTTGAAAAGTTCTCAGAATGCTTCCCTGTGAGAGTTTGTGTGCTGCCTCATGTACTGAGTAAGTGTGGAATTTATTCTCATCATGATCCTGGAGGAATTCAGTAGTAATATTTCTTGTTGCATATTTTCAGTAGGAGCTCCTTGATAACAAAGCATGTATACCCAAGCATAGTTTCAAAGGTTTCATAGTTTCAAAGATGCTACTGGACTGTAGCATCTTGTATAACTTGCACAAAGACACACACATACTGCTTATGCTAAGAGTTTTAAGTGCAGAAGTATGCATATTTTTAATCATTTCTGTTCAGTGCCTAACATCACAGGATTATTATTATGGGCTTCCATACTGCATGACATTGAAGTTCCTAATGATATTGGAAAAAGCCATATGACAAGCCATGCCAAATATTACAAGTGGGCTTTGGAATGTAACTCTGTTGTGGCCTTTGGGAGAGGGTGGATAGCTATGAAATGTCATGGAGCAGAACTTGCTATTACATACAGCTTTTATGTGCATATTCATAGCTATTTATTCCCTCCATCAGGCAGAATTCTCTCTCTCTCTCTCTCTCATAAAGTTCCCGGGCCTGAGTTCTGCCCAGATCCAGACTTATATTTAGTAATGGTGCTGCATCATCTGCTTTCATGCCTGAGTACTGTTATCATTAGCACTAACCAGAGCTAAAAGACTACTCTGTGGGGTACCTAGATCAAATACATTGCCTTTGTCTTCATATGAGCACATTAGGTTGCATTGCTGTGTCAAATTGTTGTGGCTTTCCAGAAGTGAAGTCATATGGACACCAATTTAATTGTTTGCTTTTCTTAACTGATTGCTTTTTTGGTGGCCCACATAGCTCCATTTCCTCTGTGCTGCAGAGATGAGTCTGCTTAGTATTCATTTCCTAAAGAATGTGCTTTTATTTTTGATGTATTAGATAATATGACCCACCTAACAACCTGATATGTTCAAAGCCAGTCTAGGATTTTTGTCTGTGGTTTGTCATTTTGTGTAATAGCTACATTTTGAAATGAAGGATTTTATTTTATTTTTTGCTTTCTTATTGTTCCCTATTCAGTGAATAACAGGGTTGAAAGTTCTAGATGTGTGATTACTATAGTTTGAGTTCATTGGGCAAGGAAGACAAGGGAGACCAGAAAAACAACCCTCTCCAGTGTCACTGATTTTGAGTCACTTAAGGAGATAATTGCTACCCCTTCATTCAGAGTGGAGTCAATGGAATCCTCTGGAGTACTGATTTTAGACAAAAACAAAGTGCAGTATGCTTTTGGATCATTAGGTGGCATCTTGCTTCAAATTCATGTGTTCTACTAAAATCATAACATTAATTATCAAGGCTAATTATTTCTCTTATTGTGTAGCAAAAAAGACAAAAATACTTTGACAGCTTTAAAGCTAACAAATTTATTTCACTGTGAACTTTAGTCTGAAGAAGTGAATTCTTCCTTACACTGAGATATGTGAGTGTTAAAGGTGTTACAATACTGTACTTTTTCTGTTTGTTTTTGGTTTTTTTAATCATACTGGATCAGGCCAGCATCTTTGAATATTTCTCTTTTTGGAGGCTTCTTTCCAACCTTTTTTTTCTGAAATTAATATTAAAAAGTAAATAAGACAACATTTTCAAGAATATGTAATAAAGGAGCAAAAGATAAGAGCTATCTTGTATTTTTGATCGAACAAGATCACATAAGTGCTGCATAATGCAGGCATGAACTTGCATATTTTAGAAGAGAAAATAATGCAGTAACATGAATTCTCAGTTTCATGTTATATTAATACTATTAAAACAATGTGTATGCTGGCTAACATCAAGAGTATAATAGTGTAGCAGCTGAATGAACTCTGTCAACATCTCAGCTGCAGACAAACAGGGTTAGGTAACAGGAAAATAGAATATGATGTGATGTTTTGTAATATAAGTAGATGTGTTTTTAGGAGGAGAATATGCTAAGTACTTCGTTCTCTGGAGTTTGTATAGTACCATATCTAAATATTGGCACTGCCATCTGCAAACCCAGTTTTCTGTTTCCTAGACTGGCAATACCTTATAATATAATTTACAGTTCTGTCAATATAGCATGTATGGCTTTTGTCAGGAGACTGGGAAAATGGAGGGGGTCATGGTTTCTGTTGCCCTTCTCAAAAACAGGTTTTTTAGTTCATGCCTAGGATGAGCTGGCCAAGAGAATGGAGAAAAAATGCCCATTGTTAATTGGAAGGCAGCAAGCATCTGTACCTTATCTCTGTGAGAAAGAAAGCTTCAAGGCCAGACTGAGCTCACTCCTTGGTACTGAGTTAATTTGCAGAATGGTTTCATCTTAGTCAAGGGAGAAGGGAAAAGTTTCTCTGTTCTTTGGGAAGGTTCAGGACAACTCTGTGCTGATTGGCAGATCTTTGGGAAGGATCTGGAAACTGGAATTTTGGGTATAGGAGTTCCTAGTTTGGCCTAGTTGTTGCTCAGGAGAATGATGTGCTCGTCTGCTGCCTGCTACAAGACTTAAACTCTGTGTTCTCTGAGTCTAGGCTGAAACTATGCCAGAGTTTCAGTTTATTAGTCTAGATTAGCTAGCTTTCTTGTAGGTTTTGTTCTGGAATTACTCTTGCCTCACCTTTTTGATTGTTTATTTGCTCTACAATCTTTTGATTGTTTCTGTTCACTGCTGAAACTGTTTAAAGTTTTACTCTTCTGACTCTTTCATCACCTTTAATAAAGGATAAAATTTTAGTTCTTTAGGAGTAAGTGGGTGGTAGTATTAAAACCATGCTTGTATTGGCCATCTACCAGGGGTCTGTGTGTTTTGTGGGTATTTTTATTTATTATTTTATTAATTTTACGGTCAAAGAACAGTATTTGTGGGGGGGGGTTATTCCTACCTTGCAGGATTGGCGTAAGAGTCAAGCACTTAATCTTGTGCATTTTTGGTACTTCCTGAAAGCACTGCTTAGTCAAATAGACCAGGGAGGAAGATTTCATCAGCCATCAGCACAGTTGGCCCTCCTGGATTTTACCCACACCAGGAAGGTCAGGGTATTGTGATTTAGTGGTTAGTGGCCTCTCTGACCAGGGGTAATCATGACAGCTTTTAGAAAAGAACATTTGGTACACCTGGATGATAACATTGCTGAGTAATTGATACTTGTATTGGTAGGGTTTGTTGAAAACACTTAAATCCATTTACACTTGTAAAAATGCACCACTCTTTAATACGACATTTACAATTTTTGAATGTTTTTAGACTGTCTTGGTCAGCTGTCAAACCTACAGTTCAGTGCATTCCAACGGGGGGGGGGGAATTCACCAAAAATTAACGAAGAGTCAGAACAAAGCCAAATTAAGTTTGCAAAGGTTTTACAAGGTGCACTAATGATCCCAAGCATTTAAAACAGTTTTTGAACATTTTAAGACACACTTAAAATAGCAAAAACGGACATCGCTAAGCGAAACAGGGGGACCTAAACTGTCATCGCTAAGCGAGGCAAGGTCCCGAACATCGCTATGCGAAATTTCCCCATAGGGAACATCGCTAAACGGAGCGCAAAATCGCTCCAAAAACCTCATTGCTAAGCGAATACATCGTTAAACGAAGCAATTGCTAAGCAAGGCACCACTGTATAAGCAATAGATTATAACTATAAAAACATAGTTAAATTACCGTAGTTGTAACATTAAAACAGAATATAATAAAAACTTTTGAAAACTTTCAGTTAAGGAATTACAATTAACAGTAGAAAACTGCAACACAAGCCCCCTGATCCTTAGCAGGCAATTACTTGCTGAAGACTTGCCTAAAGGCTGACGTTTTTGTATGAAGTTTTTTGTATGGCAGCAAAGGAACTAAAGGAGTTGGTCAAGCAAGCTTTCCTCAGCAGGGAGTTCCATAATTTGGGAGTGGCTGGTGAAAAAGTCCTTCTCTCACATCTTCATCAAAAGTGCCTTTGAAAATGGTGATTACTAAAAGAGCCAATGCTTTCTGTCTTGA